TTTTTAACGCTTATTTATATATTGAGAAACTGTATGGACAGGAATGTCATACTTGCGTGTATCTGAAACCAACAGTGCAAACGGCTTTTCCCAGGTATACATTTTAATGACACGCATACCGGCAATGATCTCATTCATGACACGTATGCGCCGATCGGTTAACAGTGCGGTCTTTTGGCGGATCCGGCGAAACAGGGCGCCGACCAGCAACAGGAACGGTACAAACAGTACAAGCATTGCCATACCGGCCAAACAAGCCCAGCCTAACTGTCCCCATAGAAGATAGAGTATAAGTGCCGACTGTAACGGTGCCACCACTAGTGAGTGCGAGTAATAGGAAAACTGTATTTAAGATTTTGATAATTATTAATAATAATAAACAATTAATTAAAATTATTTCTTTAATATATATATAAACCTCATCAAAACGATTGACATCATTGGACAGTATGTTAAGTATTTGACCGACAGTTGTCTTTCCCAGTGATGAACGACTCAATTTCATAGACTATAATAAATACACCGATAAATATAAAAAACAACAAAATAATAATTAATAATGTTATGTTAATGATATAATTAAAAACTATATCGTTTATTGTTATGTTGTGTAATCTAATGTTGAATAAGATAATTATTTTAAGAAAGTTTTATAAAAAAAAGTATATTTTCTTTTCTATTTCCTAATAAACTTGATAAATAAAATTTATTTAAATTTCATATTTATATTTAACAATTTAAAAATTACAGTTTGTAAGGTATTAGTGTATTTAATTAATGTTAATGTATTTATGTATGTGTGTGTGTTTGTGTGTGTGTGTGTGTGTGACGGGATCTAACCGTACCTTTCGATAGATAAGTGCCGATGTGGCCACTCTCATACGCATACCCATACGCAATGTATTGCAAAACGTTATATGATTGATAACAAACCGGTCGAGTATAGAGGCCAACACAATGCCTACCGCTGCCCATACGGCCCACTGACGGCCGATTAGGGGATCGCCCTGAAAATAGCGTACAACATAGCCCAACATAAGCGGCAAACTGACTTTAATGATGACCTCCTTGAAAATTTATTAGTGTAACAATATGCACATATTTAAACTACATGTATTCAAAAATAATATATACTGATTTATACTTACTTGAAATGTACTCAACAATAACCAGGGTAAAAATTCTGGTGCAAACGTTTTGAACAGTGCCATAGCCAGGGATGGTTGTTTATTTTTATTATTTGTTTTGTTAGCTAGCTCATTGTTCCAGTTTCTATATATATATATTGTTTAAAAAATATACACCAATATTTATTTTTTTTAAATTGTAAATAATTAAAAACAATAACAAAATTAAATTTATTAATAATTATTTTTTAATACTTTTCCAATTTGTTTCGCACACACGCCGTTTCATCTGATTTTGAGCACCGGTATAGGTCGCCAAACTCCAGGTCCTTTTTGTGGGCCTGAATAAATAGACGCCATACCCAACTATTAATAGTAATAATAAGTAAAAACAGTTTATTATTACCACTAAAAATACAAACAAACAAAAACATATTATAAATAATTTTTACATAAATGTAAATTTTGATACAAAATTAATGCGATCCCATGGAGAAGGTTTGGTAATCAGTTCCTTAATGTCCATTAAATTATTATTATTATGATTAAAATAAAAAACACAATTAATTAATTAATTAGTACTGTATTTATTGACATCAATACATTTTATGATGTAAACTAAATTATATTGTTTTTTTTGATGAGCTTTTTATAAAATAAAAATTTGAAATATTAGATTTTTTAATTGAGATATTAAAAGTAATAAAAAATAGTTGATAATAAAAAGTTTTTGTTTAAATAATAGTAATATTATTATTTTTATTCTTACGATAATAATAAAAAAAATTTAGTAATGATAGATATACTGTATATAAAAATTTCTAGTTTCTTAATACAGTATAAATTTCAGTTATTTTATGAAATCCTTGATTATTATATAAATTTATATATATATATATTATATAATTTATATACATTATATACACATTAGTTATAAAATTATATCATACAGGTATTTATGTATAAAAGTTTTTTAAAACATTTTCATTTTAAATGATTGTTAATATATTGTAATAAATATAGAAACATATTTTTTAAATAACTTAATTTTAACTTAACTGAAATTTAGTAAACATTTAATAATTATATAAATTATTTATTAGTGAAATTCATTGATTAATATTTGATAACATTTTATAGCATTGAAAATTGTGTACAATAATAAAAATATAATTTGTATAAGTTTATAGCTTATAAATAAATTATAAGTATTCAATGTCATATTTTTAATAATAATAATAATTAGTAAAAATATTATATTATATTTTATTGTATAATATTATATATAATATAATTTATATTATAATAATTAAATTTTAATATTTTCCAGTATTTATTTTCTTTTAGTGGATTTTATGTTATTGTTGGTGTTGTTAACAGTTATTATATATATTAGATTTATAGTAAAATAATATCCTATCATATAAAAATATAATATAATTTTTATTTAAATTATTAAATTTATGATTTTAATTTATTGTTTAAAGATTTTACCAGAAAAAATAGCTACAAAATTTTGTATAATATATTATATATAAATAATTAATTTTATATTAGTGTAATAAATTAAAATACAGTTTATTTATATAAATTTTTATATTTATATAAATTTTTATATTTATATAAATTTTTATATTTATATAAAATTGCTAATCTTATAAATATACATAGTATCAATATTTTTAGTTTACTAAACAGGTTTTTTTGGTATTAACACTGAAATTATATTTATATATCCGTTTCATATGACTGACTGACTGTTTGGTCAATAAAAATGCTTAGAATTTGTGGTAAAACTTTTTAATCATAAACGACAACAAATTATAATATATGTGCAATAAAAGTGATTTCAAATAAATTATGAATACTTTGAATACCATTCAATCCAATACATTGAATATGAATTTAATTAAATTAATTAAATTGAAATCAACGGCAAATAGTTTGCAACTAATTAGTGAAAAATTATATGATTTAAGTGAAAATATTTTTTGTAAAAATGATGAAATTATTTCAGTGATTAAATCAACAAATGATTGCCATTCAGTGAAAATCACTGATTTTATAATCAATGAGTCTATTGTTGAAATATATGACAACAACAACAATAAGACACGTGTGGATAACAAAACTAATAAAACAAAATTCAAGTGTTTTTGGCCCAAATGTAGGTTCAGTTGCTATACTAACAGTCATTTAAGTCAACATCAATTAATTCATTTGACTGTCAATCAAATCAAATGTGATTTCAATCAAAATTGTAATAAAATATTTTCAACTAATAGTAGTTTAATTTCGCATAAAAATGCTAATCATCTAAATAATAGATACAAATGCGATATCAATGAATGTCTAAATATATTTTCATCTAAAACTGCTTTAGTTAATCATAAAAATGCCAAACATTTTCACTATAAATATAAATGTAATGTTAATGAATGCTTTAAAGTATTTTCTTATAAATCCCAATTAGTTAATCATAGACTTGTAAAACACTATAATTATGATTATAAATGTGATGTCAATGAATGCGGCAAAAAATTTAATGATAAATCTCATTTGCATAGACACAAAACTAGTGTTCATTATAATATACGCCGATTTATTTGTGATTACAATAATTGTCACAAAGCATTTACAAATAATACAAATTTAAAACGACATCAACAGTCAGTTCATCTGAAATATAAACCATTTAAATGTGATGTCGAGTATTGCGATAAAACATTCAGTCAAAAGTCTCATTTAATTAAACATAAATCCATACATTTTGTTGTTGTGTAAAATCTGATTATTATAACAATTGTAACAAACATTTTTTTGGATATAAAAACTATTTAGTAGATCACAAACGTAATGTTCAAATGATTGTTCATTAGTTATTTGGATTTAATAAATAATTTTTTATTTATTTAAAATTTCTAATTTCTTTTACTTATATTTACACTTATTCACCGAAAATAATTGATTTATTTTAATTTTTTCTAAAGTAAATGCATAAAAACAACATTATGTTTTAAATCATTTATTTAAAAAAAAATTTATTTATCAAATATAATTATAATAATAATGACTAGTTTTGTATGTATGTCCTAAAAAAGTATGACTTAAAATATTTATTTTATTTTTTTAAAAATTTATTATATTATCAATAATATTATTATTAAACTTGTGAATAAATAATTAAAAGTTCAATAATTTTTATTATATTAGTAAATAATTATATAATTAAATGCTGTTGTACTGTAAAATACAAAAAAAAAATAAGTTCAATAAACATATAAATAATAAATATTATTATTTTTATCACAATAATCAAGTGTAACAATAGTCTTTATTTAAATATTATTATTATATAATATAGTTGATATACAGTATATTATATTATGCCTACAATTGAATAAACATATGATTAATATTATGACAACAATTTAGTTTTAAAATAATTTCCTGACACTTTATAATAGCCAATATTTATAACTATATATTCTTACCAATAGTTTCTATTGATATTTTTTTAGTATATATACAGTATAAACATATGCTATGATATTATTTTTGCTGTACATTAAATTACATTTACATTATATACAGTAAATATCATTTAATCATTATAATACAGTAGTACAGTATTATATTGATAATTTATAGCTAAATATAATATTATAATAAATATTATTATTGCAATAAAATTTCTAATAGACATTTAGTTTAAAGTCAACATATATACAGTATTAAAATAAATACTTATTATTATTTATTAACAAGTATTTAGTAATTATTAGTAAATTAAATATTTTTTTTTAACTATTATTAATAATCAAATCGACCGAAAAGTAAATTATTACTATGAAAGTTACTCTAATAATAATGATAATAATATATACATTGGTTACCTGTTTGATGATCAGTATCGCCCGGGCCAACAATAAGCAACCGGCAGCTAACAAAATTGCTAACCCCCTGGTGCCGGCCCGATCGGGTGACTTTCCCTGGATGGTATCGATTCAATCGGACGGCCGACATCAATGTGGCGGAACCATATTGAATGCCCGAACCATTTTGACGGTAGCCAGGTGTACAATTAGGTAAACAATCAATATATATATTATAATTAATTTTTGTTGTATGAAACTTATTAATGTTATAATATGCATAGGGGGGGGTGTAAAACTTATTATAGCTTATACAATACAATAGTTTACAGTATAATAATTAAAAATATTGATTGTTTTTTTTAATTTTTAATTCAAAATAAAAAAATTCAGCATGATCAATACTACTGCCCGATTGACTGTACGATACGGATCGCTGAACCAGTCATCAGGCGGTACAGTAGTACCGATTCGGCAAATACTATTGGCCCCCAAGTTTAACCAGAGTCAAGATTTTCACAGTGATTGGAGTCTAATTAAATTGGCCAAAAATATTGTATTTGACAACCCTACTACTACTACGGTTGCTGCGGCCAAATTGGCGCCACGTTCGGCACTGCCCAATCTGGGACAGTCGGTTTGGACGGCCGGCTGGAGCTTCATTACCAATGGCCTGCCATTGTTGGTGCCGGTAATGGAAAAATATTCACTAAATATTGTTGACAGACACGCTTGCAATGGTACCTATGAGGGACAGGTAGATGGTGGATTGTTTTGTGCGGCAGTACCAAAAAATACTGCCGATCCCTGTCAGGTAAATATACATTAGAGTTATATAAGTCTATTAATTAATTAATTAGTTATAATTTTAATATTTAATAAATATCTAGCTTGACATTGGCGGCCCAGTATCTACTGGCACCGGTACTAATGCAGTGGTAATCGGTTTGTTTACCTTTAGTTTGTCCTGTTTTCAGCAAGGTGCACCTGCTATTTTTACTAGTATTGGTCAATATCGAGATGCTATTGATAAATTGGCAAAATGATTATTGTAATTTTTTTTATCTACAGTATCAATATTTAATAATAAAAAATATTAACCTTGCTAATTTACTATACATAAGCTATTATACTAAATAATAGTTACAATTAAGTACTGTGTTTTAAAAAAATTAATTAATTATTAATATTAATATCAATTAATAATAACTAATTACTGCTATTTATTTCCATAATATTAATAATATTGTTTAATGATTGAATAAAAAATTAATTAAAAAAAAAATTTTGCAAGTTGTGTTGACTGTGTTAAAACAAAATTATTATTATTATTAATTAATTAAATCAATTATCATTATAAAAAATCATTATAACTTTTAAATGCTCAATTACAATTGTATAATTTTACTGTTATTTTATCTAATCTAAATTTTAAAAATTTAATTAATTAATTATTATTAGAAAATATTATTTATTAATTATTTTTGTTGTTGTTGTTTAAAATTCATTTAATAAATATTAATTGTAATTATTTTAATAATAGATTAATTTATCTAATTGTTAATTCTATGTTATTGAATATTATTTTAGTAGTAGTATTATTAATAATTTTGGCAATTGATAGCCAATTAATTTATGATGACCATATAATTTTGGATAAAAAAATTGTTGGTGGTCGGCCAGTCGACCGATTAGCCCGGTTCCCCTATATGGTATCATTACAGTTTTTCGGTATCATCCATTTTTGTGGCGGTGCTATCATTACTAAGCGTACAATATTAACGGCAGCCCATTGTACCTACGGGTTAGTTACTAATAATAATAATAATAATAATAAACTACCACTTTATTCATGTATTTTAAATAAATATATTAATAAATATTATTTTTTTTTTGATAAAAAAATTGTATTTTAAAATAAGCAAATCAATAAATTTTATTTAACAACGATATGTTAGTAATATATTACTTTAATTTTCATACAAATAAACTAGCAACTATTTAAATATATATATATAATTGATTTATCAATTGATAAAAAAAAATTTTAATTAGATTTTTAATATTATCATTATTATTATCATTTAAGTAAACCAAATGGATCAATTTGGATACGTATGGGATCGTTATGTCACGCTAGGGGTGGCCAACTAGTACAGGAAATTTATCACCTGGAACGGTACGGGTTTATTAACAATGCTAATGGATCATGGATACACGATGTTGCTGTTATCATATTGAACCGGGACATCAAGTTTGACGACCAGACGGCCCTACCGATAGATCTACCAGTTTCGGGCTACGATCCGGCACCTGGATCAAAGTCAATGTTGGCCGGCTGGGGCTTTCAACACTGGCATCAACCGCCGGCCACACCGTGTCTGTACAGTGTCGACCTAGAGATTGTCGATCGGCAACAGTGCAACCAAACCTATTACGATACGTTTAGCCGGGTCAAGGATGGCCAGATATGCGCCGGTATGCCCCAAGGCAATAGAGGACCATGTTCAGTTAGTATTTAGATAAATAGATTTAATTATCTATAAATTTAATATATATTAAAACATAATTATTAATAATTTTTAAGCATTATTATCATAATGTGTTATTTTATGTTATTGAATATACATAGTAATATAGTAAATTTAGTTGTTTAAAATTTTAAAAAACAACCAGGGTGATTCAGGCAGTGGTCTCATACAAAATAATACAATCGTAGGACTGGTATCGTTTGGTAGGGGCTGTGAACAGCCCGGTTCCTATGGTGTCTACACTAATGTCGGCTCATATGTTGATTGGATTAATAGACATAGAAAATAAATTTGTTTGTATTGTTTCATATTTTTCATGTTTTTAAAATATACTGTTTATATTATAATTAAATAAAACTAAAATATTAATAATTTATTCAAAAAAAATTATTCTTTTGTTTGACAATATTCAGTGAAATGAATTTATAGAATTATAAAAATATTTTTAAAAAATAATGCAAAATACTATTAGATAATTAATTTTTAAATATTATTATTATTTTTCATTGATGTGTTTGTTATTCAACAGTAACTGTTGTATTCAATAATGATTTCAATTGACTAACACTACAGTATAGTTATCAATATTTTTTAAAAGAAAATTAAATTTCATTTCCTTAATTGACATAAAATTTAACTAAACATGCGTTTTGTGTGTTTGTTATTAACTTATCATAAAAAAAATTAATTATTAGGACAGTAGATATATAATTAGTATAAGCATCAAAACTGTAAATTATGACAAAACTTTTATTATTAAACAAAAGTACACTTATTTTTAGTCATAAATACAAATTTCCACAACATTTGCTCATTTGGTTCAGTTTTGGTGACTTCTTAAAGTGTTCAATGTCTGAAAAAACCATAAATTTTGCTTCTCGTGATTGTCGGGCAATAATTGCCTATTATTATCGGCGCGCGCTGACGGCACAGGAGGCGACAGATGAAATTAATGACACATTGGGATCAAATACTGTTATTTACTCTACAGTAACGCATTGGTATCGAGAGTTCAAATTTGGTCGTACATCACTTGAGGACATGCCGAAGTCAGGTCGACCTCGGGAAGTGACCACCGATGAAAATGTGGCCAGAATTCGGGAACTACTTCAAGTAGATCCACGAATGACACTAATACAGATGGCATATACATTGAATATTTCAACCGAGAGAGTCCATCATATTCTACACAATTATCTTAATGCAAGACATGTTTGTGTCAAATGGGTACCCCACGTGCTGTCAGCCGACCAAATGGCCACTCGTGTTAAGATCTGCCGGGAAAACCCAAAGATATTTTCGGATGGCGGAGATCACTTTATTTATCGATTAGTGACTGGTGATGAAACATATGTGTACTTTTATGACAATTTAAACAGTAAAGAAGCAAAGTTATGGGTCATAGAAGATGAAGAGATCCCGAAGTTAGCCAAACGTGAAGTGCATGTAAAAAAGATAATGTACGCCATTTTTTTCGCTCAACCGGTATTGTGAAAATCGTTAAGTTAGGAAAGGGAGAGAAGGTTACCGCCGACTGGTATGTGAAGAAATGTTTGCCTCAAGTCTTTGAATCTGTTTGTGAGGACCGCCCGAAGTCGGGACTAACTGGTATTTTTTTGCATCACGATAATGCCCGTCCTCACAAAGCATTGGTAACAACCAAGTATCTCAAAGACAATGGTATTCGACTTCTGGCACACCCACCGTACAGTCCTGATCTGGCTCCGGCTGATTTTTGGCTTTTCAAAAACCTCAAGAAACACCTGAGAGGAACGGTATTTAATAGCGAAATTGAGATTGACATCGCTATTGAGTCATTTTTGGGAGACCTAAGTCCAGCCGACTGGCGCGGGGTCTATGAGAAGTGGGTCGACCGTATGAAACGTGTCATAAGGGCTAACGGAGACTATATTTAAATAATATTTGAAAAAAATTTGAATAAAATTGTCTTAAGCTACAGAGGCTAATTTCTTTTTTACCAATCTAATAGATTATCGATTGGTTACATTAATTATTACATAATAATAATTATTACAATAAAAAAAACTTATATGATTTTATTTTCTAAATAATTGTTGTCTATTTTTTTTTATAGATATGTTTATAGAAATTAATAGAAAAATGAGGATTTAATTAGAAATTAGATTTTTTTTACTAAAATAATTTATGAATATAATTGCTATTATCGGTAGATTTGTAAACATTGCTTACCATAGTTTAATCTGAAATCATATTTTCTTTAATTATAATTAAATTGAAATATATATATATATATATACCTAATCATGATTTAATCTAATTTTATATTATATTAATAAATTAATTTTTTATTTTCATAAATGTGTACAAAAGTATTTATTTTTATTGTTTTTATGTTAAATGAAAATCCATAAACAGGTTTAAGGATTAAAGTAATTCATATCAGAAAAAATTATATCCATTTTTCATATGACTGACTGTTTGTTTGTTTAAAGTGTACTTTGAATTTGTGATTAAAAGACAAACAAATTACATGTGCGATGAAAGTGATCGCCATTTCAAACAATTAATCGCTGAAAACATTCAAACAAACAAACAACACATTTTTGAATATGAATTTAATTCAATTAATTAAATTGAAATCAACGGCAAATAGTTTACAACTAATTATTAATAAATTGAGTGATTTGTATGAAAACATTGATTATGAAAATGAAACAAATATTTCAACTAATGATTTCATTTCTGTGAAAATTACTGATTCAATGGTCAATGAAAATGACAGAACATATTACAACAACGACAACAACACACGTGTGGATAACAACAACACGCGTTTCACGTGCTTTTGGCCCAAATGTCAGTTCAGTACACACGATGAATACAATATAACTAGACATCAATTAGTTCACTCATTGCCCAAACCATTTGCATGTGATGTCGATAACTGTAATAAATTATTTAAAAGAAAATCTGATCTAAATTCTCATAAACGTAAAAAACATCTAAATATTGATCATAAATATAAATGCAATTACAGTGAATGTGATAAATCGTATATAGCATTGAATGATCTAAATAAACACAAACGTATCAAACATTTAAATATACGATACAAATGTGATGTCAATGATTGCGGCAAAGAGTTTGGCCAAAGTCATCATTTGCTAAGACATAAAACTAGTATTCATTTTAAGATTAGACCGTATTGTTGTGATTATGATAATTGTCACAAAACTTATATAAGTAAAAGTGATTTACAAAAACATCGAATGATTGTTCACCTGAAAAACAAACCATTTAAATGTGATGTCGAGTATTGCGATAAAAAATTTATTACAAATAGTCGATTAGTTGAACACAAATTACAACATTTAGTTGAAAAGCGTTATCATTGTTCAGTTGACAAGTGTTTGAAAAGTTTTACAACAAATCATTGTTTACGACAACACATATCCAGAGATCATTCAATTGAATTGCAATTTCGCTGCAATTACGACGATTGTGACAAACATTTTGGTAGTAAAAATGATTTAGAAAAACATATAAATAGTGTTCATCTGAAGATAATTTCCAAACGATTCAAATGTGATGTCGACGGTTGCGATAAAAGATTTGTTAGCAATTCGTATCTATTGAAACATAAGTTAACCCATTCAGACATTAAATTGTATAAATGTGATGTCAATGGATGCGATAAAAGTTATTCATCAAATCGATCGCTTACTCTTCACAAACATTATAAACATTGATTGATATTTTTCATATAATTTTTTTTGTCTAAAAGATTCAATTTCTTGACCCCTATATTATCGGTGATATGATTTTGTGTGTTAACCGATAGTCATATAATTATTTATTATCTTATTTTACTTACTTATTCATTGACATTATTGTTATACACAAATTGTTTTTTTATTTATTAAAATACAATAGTTTTTTTTATATAAAATTGTTTACAAATAATTACAATAAATTACAATAATTCATATTGAAAATTTCAATTTAAAATAGTTATTAAATTTGTTTTTTTAAAGTGTAAACAATTTTATCATTACAAACGTGTTGTATTATTTAAACAAATTGATTGCTATTTTTGTTTGACGGTTAAATTGATAATAAATATTTGTTAATAAAATAATTGACAATTTATTCATTAAACGGAAATAAAACAATATATATATATTTGTAAAAATAATTAAATATAAATAATAAATTTGATATTTTTTAATTTTTACATATATTTTTTTATTTTGTAAATTAACAATATGATTTATATTTGTTTATAGTTATTATTTTGAATTAAATGATTAATGTAATGTAATTAAATTGATAGTTTAAAAACATTTTTTAAATAAATGTCAAAATTAAGAAACAAAAAATAATTTATTGTTAGTAAAACACACAAACGTATGTATAGTTTTTTGTTGTAACTAATGCAACAAAAATTAATTTATAACTATTAGTATTAATATTATATTTATAACAATTTTTTTTATTTAACATTGACTTTAGCTAACACATATTATTAATATTTATTGTAAATTAAAACCTTTTTTTTGTAATTATATACTAAATATGAAATTTTAATTATTGACATAATATTTTGAATAAATAAAATTTTATGTTATAATTTGTACAACATTTAGTATATCCATAAAAATTTTGAACATATATTTAATTTAAAATCAAAAATATTTTCTCTTATTTTATAATATTTTTTTAACACATATATTATAATAGTTTTATACTGTAATTATTATTAGAATATTTATTATTAAAATAAGATAATTAAATGTAAATGTATTATTATATAGAAAATTTATCTAATAATATTGATAGCTGATTTATAATTTAAATAAATATATTTTCTTTATATATTTTGAAGGTTAGATTATTATAAATATTTTAACATAAAAAAATATATTTATGTTAATTTTTGTGAAATAAATGAATATAATATTAATAATACTAATAATAGTAATGAAAAATCTCATAAAAATAACACAATATATTAAATATTTGTTAAAAATATATAAATATGTTAATTTAATGCATATTTAGGCAATTTTATTTATATCTATAAATTTGTCTAAAATAATAAAATTAAAAATGTTAATTATTTATATTTTTGATATCTTCTAGAAAAAAATATAATCTTAAATATAAAAAATACTATATTTATATTGTCAAATAATATCATTAATTATTTCAATTAATTATTTATTTCTATGATTATGATTATTATTATATGAATAAAATTAAATAATGTAATCAATTCCCCCCCAAAAAAATCTATTTTTTCAAATAAATAAATTATGGAAAAATTTTTTTAATTTGAAATTTAATTAGAAAAAAGCATTTAAAAAAAAGTTTTTTTCACACTGGTTATCAAATATTTGTTGATAAATTGTAGGAAATAATTTAATTTTAATTTATTTTTTTGGAAAGTATAAATAATTGTGATCATATAATTGTATTTAGACTTATTTCTAGCAAAATTAATTAATAGTTTTTATGCAATTAATTACATTAAATATTTACTGTAGATTTTATTATTAAAAAAAATTATTTATAAAACTTATTGTTGTATTTTTTCGAATAAATTCAATAAAGCTATCGTTTAGGACATCAATTGCATCATTTATTTATTACAATAACTGTTATTATTATTATAATGTATATACTGTATGTTAAACACAATAATTATTCAATAATTGTTGTGTTACTAAAAACAAATAATTTACAAATTGTTTGTTAAAACATTTTATTACAATTTATAAGTAGTTTTTTTTATAAAAAAAGGTATGTTTGAATACTAACAGTAAGTTTTAAATAAAATATAATTTGTATGTTTTTATTATAAATTAATTAATAAAAAATAATAATTTTTTATTTTTTAAAAAAGAAGAAATATTTTGTTTCAGTAGACGATTGAAGATAACAATAATGACTATAATATCAAAGTCAATGATATCGATGACCACAACTACAACAACTACAACAACTACAACAATAAGGGACTCATTTGATCGTTTCGGCGATGATTTGGCACAACTATTGTTGTCGTATCTGAAGATTACAACTGATGAGACATTCATGAAACTACAATTAGTGTCAAAACAGTGGCAAAGATTGTTATTCAACAGTCGGACAGCTATCGAGTTAGACATCAATTCACAAAACTTACGCCAAAGTATTGCATTGTTTGCAACGATTGTCCAAAAGTGTCCATACATTCAAACAGTTGTCATCCGCGGCAATCCGTTTATGTCTGGCAACGACCAACTGTTGGACCTATTGGTGACCCATTGTCGACGCTTTCGACACATTAGTCTCAGTACACACACCATCGATGACCACAGTTTTGACCGATTATTGGCCGCATTTGGCCAACAATTGCAGTCATTAGAGTTGAGACAAGTTATGCGCAAACATCACGAGTTGGCCATCAAAGTCGTCGAGTATTTGCCGAAACTTCGCAAACTGGTTATCGGTTACAATAATATTAATATTTTAATAGATTTTCATTATTTTTTCAATGATCGCCGGATTTGTGTTTTGCCTACTAGTCTACAGTCGGTATCGTTTGTTTTGACAACTGTTGGGCAATCATTGTTTCAACCGTTTGTTTCAACCAATTATGCCAACCGATTGACAACACTTGACATTATTGTCGACTTTGCCGACGAATCAGTTGTTCCGTCATTTGTCCGGTCATTGTCACAGTTGTCTCAATTAAGACGACTTAGACTAAGAATTTTCAAATTTTGTATCGAAATTATTAGTAATTTAATAATCCATGGATTTAGCCATCGGTTGAATCGTAAATTGAAAAGTTTGTCAATTATTTCAAACTCGATATCTGATTATCTAATTATTGAATTAATGAAAACATTGAACAATAATCAGAAACAATTGAAACGATTGGCCATTGATTGTAATGTTTTCAATCAATTCAATGATAACTCAATACTAACAATTGATTTACTGAAACATATGAAACAATTGACACATTTGTCACTGAAATTAGGATTCAGTGTTTGCGGCGACCAGTTTTTCCGCGATATTGACCGCCATTTACCGCGAATTCAGATCGTAGACATCGATTCGGCGGACATTAGCCGCTCGTCATTGCAATCCATGTCCCGATTGCGTCACTTAAATACCGTACGATTAGCCGATTGTATCAACGATACAATTGCTGACCACTATATTATTGGTGATCTAATTTCGGCCCAACCGAATCTGGCCAATGTTTATATATCGTATATTAATTGTAAAAATACATTTACCCGGGGTAATATTTGTAATAAAAATAACAATTTTCTACATAATCTGTTTTAGATTAAATGATAATTTTACTTTTTTATATATATGTTTTATACTTATTTTTAAACTCTATTTTTTAGTGGTCTTACAGTAATTGTTTAATAATTAATATATTGAAATATTTTATTAAGAAATAATAAATTTTATTTCTTATATATTGTAAAACTTATTTTTTTTATATATATATATATACATTTGATTTAATTTATATACAATACTGTATATTAGTTTTTGTAATTACCGTAAATTTAATGAAATAAACAGATTTTAAAGGATTAAAGTAATTCATCCCAGAAAAATGTATATCCATTTCATATGACTGAATGTTTGATATGTGCTTTGATTATGTGATAAAAGATGCGATGAAAGTGATCGCCATTACAAACAATTAATCGCTGAAGACATTCAAACAAACAACACATTTGAATCTGAATTTAATTCAATTAATTAAATTTAAATTAAATAGTTTACAACTAATTAGTAATAAATTGTGTTATTTGTATGAAAACATTGATTATGAAAAAAGCAAACAAATATTTCAACAAATGATTTCATTTCTGTGAAAATTACTGATTGAATGGCCAATGAAAATGACAGCACATATTACAACAACAACACACGTGTGGATAATAACAACACGCGTTTCACGTGTTTTTGGTCCATATGTCAGTTCAGTACACACGATGAATACAATATATCCAGACATCAATTGGTTCACTCATTGCCCAAACCATTTGCATGTGATGTCGATAACTGTAATAAATTTCCATAAACTAAACAAAACATTTAAATATTGATCATAAATATAAATGTAATTATAGTGAATGTATTAAATGATATTTAGCTTTGAATAATCTAAATAAACATAAACGTAGCAAACATTTAAATATACGATACAAAATGTGATGTCAATGATTGCGACAAAGAGTTTGGCCCAAAGTAATCATTTGCAAAGACATAAAACTAATGTTCAACTGAAACACACAAACAGTTCAAATGTGATGTCAAGTATTGCGATAAAACATTTGCCCGAAAAATACATTTTAATAAACATAAAATATTAATACATTTTTTTTGTTGAAAAACGATGTCATTGAATGAATGTTTGCAAACTTTTACAAAAAATCATTGTTTACGACAACACAAATCAAGAGATATTATATTTACTTATAATTATCACAACATTTTTATGAAAATTTATTGTATAATATTTTTTAAATATTAATTTTTTGTTAATTATTAACTAACATTAAAATTAATAAATAATGAATAAAATATTGTAAGCTTAATATAATAAATATAAATAAATCTATACAATAATTTTATACTAGATATTCTAGAGTAAGAAATTAAGTAAATTTATTTAATATATTAAATTAAATAATTTTTTTATTATCAAAATAATTAAAACTGTCCTAATTTGTACATTTATCAATTATTAAAATTATTGAGTACACTATATCAATATTTATATTAGTTTATCAATAAAACTATTTTTTTATCATATGTACTCATTTGTACGAAAAATTTATCTTTATATACAGTATTTTATGAATTTATTTATTTAGTTGATTTAATTTTAAATAGTGATATACTGTACATGTAATGATGTACTAAAAAAAACAAAATGTTTCTTTTTTTACAAAACTAATTATTAAAAAAAACAAAATTATTTATTAAATAATTAATATAAATACAATAGACTTTTATATATTATTATTATTATTATTATGTTTGTCACTAATAATGTAGTTTATAATAAATAATCACTTATTCGCTAATAAATATTAAATAAACTAAAAATTATATTATCATATATGAACTCACATTATTAGTAAACATATTTTTTAATAATTATTTTTATTTTTTTTATTTTATCATAAATATTATGTTACTATGCTTTATAAATTATAATATATTACTAATTAAAGTAAAGTATATTAATTATCACAATATTTGATTTAATTTCATTTAACTGATTTAAAAATTTTCAAACATATATACATATTTTATATACATATATAATATTAACAACGTTTATAAATGAATAATCAATGTTTATATAGTACAGTATATAATGCTATAAATTATAATTTGATAAATTTACAAAATATGATCTAAATTTTTGATATACGAGTATTTATATAAAATAAAATTAACAGTAAATTAATACAAACTTTATTTATTATAAACACTTTGTGTTTTATGTGAAATACAATTTATTTTATATTATTGAATATTATAAAATAAAATTAATAAAAAGCTGAGTAATATTAAGAAAATAATAATAAAATAATAATAACAATTATTATTATTATTTTACATGGTCATTTATACAATTATTTGTATTTATCATTTAAAACAAGTTTGTTTTATTTTTATTTATTTATTTTGTTTTTTAATAAATATAATTTTTTTAATACAGTATATATGCAAATGTTTAGTACTGTATACTCACTTTATATGTGAATAATAATAATTAATTAATTTACTATTAATTATTTATTTATTTATTTTTGATAGTTTGTTTGTTATAAAGTTGTTTTATTTATTAAAAAAAATAAAATAAAAAAAATACTAAATTAACTCTAATTAATAGTCATTTATTATAACTATATGTATATTATTTTTACAGTAATTTCCCGGAATGTCGTATTTGTTTGTCGATATAATATCATTTAAATAAAAATGTAAATATTATTTACAGCTAAATATACTGTTATTATAACAGTATATATAATATTAATATTATTGAAAATATATTATTGATATATCATATTAAATCAGTTGTTTACATACCGTATGTTTATTATTATTAAACTGTCTATTTATATACAGTAAATGTAATACAATATAAAAAAAGATATATAATTTTATATGTGTTATCAAAAAATATATATAATAATTATTTTTGTTAATTATTTACAAATAAAATATGTGTCTATGTGTTTTAGCATCAATAATATTATAATTTTTATAATATTTATTAATAATAATATAATTTTTATAATATTTATTAATAATAATATAATTTTTATAATATTTATTAATAATAATATAATTTTTATAATATTTATTAATAATAATAAGTTAATCACTATATTTTATTAAACCAGGAATTAAAAAAAATTTAAACAAACAAACAATAGTTTTTACAACAATAATACTATTTTTGTTTTTTATTTTGTTTAACTAATATAATATTAAAAAATTAATTTCCTCAAAATAACTTGGGTTATTTTTATTATATTAAAATTATTGTATGTCATGTAATTTTTTTGAAAATTGTTTTAAATACAAAATATATAGTTTTTATTTAATTTGTTGTAAAATTTGAAAAATGCTTATCAATGATGATTATTTAATTATTATTATTAGTGTAATTTATCATCATCATTATTATCATAATTTTTATTTTCAATGATAAATAAATAATTTTTTTTTATTTATAACTAATAATTTTTAATTTAATATCTGTGCCAAAAAATATCATACAAAGTGATACAAACAAACAAAAAATGTCAAAATTTTTAGTCAACTTATTTATGCTGAAAACCCGACTACTGGTTCAAACATATACTGTTACTACACTACCGATATATTATTTGCTACATAAGCCATGGCAACGGCTCCGTGAGTTGGACAGTCTAGCGCCTAAAGGTACTGTCCATAAGACACCGGCCGGCGAAACCATATACCGGGGCTATCAGTCAATACAACCGCATGCCGTACTCCTAGGCTATCGATCGATGGCCGAAATGTTGGCCAATATGGACAAACACTATGCTGCCGATCGGCCAATGCTCGGTAAACGTGATATCATTAGGGAAGTTGTCGAGACCGACCAAAACGGTTAGTAATTATCTATTTAGTATTTACTAGAAAAAAATAATTAACTCAAAATAAAACTATAATAACAATTATTTAGATATGATTTTATTATTATAAAAAAAACTACTAAACAATGTGTAGGAAACTTGTGTACAGCCAATGGAAAGCCATCCAAAAAACTGATACTAAGCGACAGTTATCGATGGCTAACACTAAGCCAAGTACTCGAACGGGTAGACAATTTGGCTAAAGGTTTGGCCAAATCTGGTGTCTCCAGTGGCGACCCAATTATCATATGGGCCGATACCCGACTTGAATGGTTTCTTACGGCACTGGCACTGATGAAACTGGACGCCAAAATTGTTACATTGCTCTCAAATTTAGGTAACAATGCCTCACTTTCCTCCACCCATACTACCCCTTATCAAAATAATCAGACCTAACTGTTTATACAGAATATAACTTAAATAGATAATCAATTTTTTTTATATAGAAATATATAACTTAATTATTTTGTTATATATTGATTAATAAATTACATTATCTCTCTCACACTCACACATAGGTAGCTCAGGGATCATACATGGCATCACACAAACTGAAGCAAAAACCATAATAACGACTATAGATATGTTACCGAAACTAAACGATTTCATTGAAAGGGTACCTAATCTCCAATCTATTGTCTATATTAAAAACACTGACCGGGATGTATACGCTGGCAATCCCTTTCCTTCGGGTGTCGCTCTCCGGTCGATGGATAAGCTGGAAGAGTTGGGCCGCAACATACCTGAGCCGCTCGGCTATCGGTTGCCAGAAAATTTGAACGACACAACACTGATTATGTATACGTCAGGTACTACTGGCCAACCGAAAGCTGTATGCATATCCCATCATCAGCTATACTCCAGTGCCCGATCACTGTTGAGCGTTACCACCAACGATATGACCAACGATGTCGACCGACATATCCATATATCTTACTTACCGTTGGCTCATATGTTAGGCTTTTCGTTGGACTCGTTTTGCTTTTTCTGTAAGTTTTTTATTTAGTTTGTTAAAAAAATATCTGTTAATTAATTATAATTTATACGATATTTTAGTTTTTTTTAAATCTCTATATCTCTATATTAAAATTTTGTTTTTTTTTAGTTTAACTACAGTAATTAGTTATGATAGCATATATAACATAATATAACTAGATTTTGATATAAATTTAATTAGTATTAATTTTTTTTGAATTTAGATTTTTTGAATTTTTAAAATTTAGTATTATTATATAATTAATAATATTTATTAAAATCTATACCTGTTTACTTAAAATACTATAATGTATTTTAAGTAAACAGATATAGTAAAAATAATTTAATATTTATAATATAATTATTAATTAAAAATTTATACTAAATTAAATTTTTTTTAAATATTATATAATAAAATAATTTCTAAATAATATATAAAAATTACTAAACTCTCTCTCTCTCTCTCTCTCTCTCTCTCACTCTCAGGTGGCGTCAAAATAGGCTACAGTTCTCCATTTACATTGACCGATACATCGCCAAACTTGGCCAGTGGCCAACAGGGCGATCTAAAATTACTTAAGCCAACATCTATGCCGGCCGTACCGCTTGTGTTGGACCGACTGCTCAAAGATATCAACGAAAAAATACGGTCGGCGTCGCCAATAGCCGGTCCTCTGTTTGCTTATCTAATGCAATATAAGATACGTTGGACTCAGAGAGGCTATCGGACGCCGATAATCAATAGGCTGTTAACCAATCGGATCAGTGAGGCTATGGGCGGCCAATTGGAGCAGTTTATGATAGGTGGGGCCCCATTGAATCCACATATCAATGCCTTAATGAGAGCTGCACTAAATCTTAAGCGTTTATCGATTGGTAATTAATTAGTTATATATATATTTTTAAAAAATTAACCAAGATAAATTTAGATAATAATAAATTATATTATTTTAGGATACGGTGCCACCGAAACAACTAGCGGTGCTATCGGTACGTATGGCAACGATTTTCAATACGAATCGGTTGGCTGTCCTGTTTACGGTATCGACATAAAACTGGTCGACTGGCCAGAGGGAGGCTATTTGACTACCGATCGGCCACGAGCTAGGGGTGAGATACTGATCGGCGGCGATATTGTTAGCAATGGCTACTTCAAAGAACCAGAGCTGACGGCACAGGTGTTTCAAGTGGACAGTGACGGCCAGCGATGGTTTCAAACGGGAGATATTGCCGAAGTTAGCGACGACGGTATGTTCAAAATAATTGACCGCAAAAAAGATCTGTCAAAACTGTCTAATGGAGAGTATGTATCATTGGGAAAGGTATGTATACACAGTAGTACTGTATGTTTGTTATGTTATGAGATATTGTAAACTACCAGTGCTTAACATTTATTACAAAAAATTACTATTAGATTGAAGGGACACTAAAATCATGCGATTTTGTCGACAATATATGTATTGTTGTTAACAGCGAATACAGCAATTGTGTAGCACTGGTAACACCTAATCGTCGGGCTATCCATAAACTGGCCAAACAATTGGGACTAATTAACAACAGTGATAGTAATAATAATTGGGAACAACTGTGTATTGATAGTCAAATTGTCGACACTGTACTCCAAGGTCTAGCCGATACTGGCCAACAAAATGGTTTGACCCGCTTGGAGATACCAGTGCGCTGTAGACTATGTCCTGAGGAGTGGTCACCCGATAACGGTATGATTACAGCGGCCATGAAATTGAAGCGCAATGTTGTTATGGATTACTATAAACCAGATATCAATGCAATGTTTGATACAATTCAATGATTAATAATTATTTAGGTTTTAAAAAATGTTTTTTTTATTAAATATAAAGTATCTTAAATATTATTGTTAGTATGAATTAATTATAAGTTTTTTAAAAAAAATCTATTATAGCAAATATGTGTTTAATATTAACTTAATAAAAGATACAAACAATTATAGTTGTGTTATTGTTATATATTTATAAAAAAATTAATATTACTTTTGTAATTAGTTTTCATCAATATATATATATATAATAATTAAAAAAAAATATTTATAATAATACAGTAAATTCTAATAAATGATAAACATTTACATTTACATGTAATAGTTAATTATGTAAATAAATACATTAAATTATAAATGTAAAAAAATATTTAATCAAAATATTGTAATTGATTTTTTAAATATGACCCAGTTACAAATGAAAAAGTCTTTTTTCTAATATCAGTAGTTAAAGAAATATTAGTCACTTTTGATTTTTGTGGCGAAATTAAATCACTGATAATCTGGTGGTCAGTGATAACTAAGTTACGACAATCAGCTAATCGTACGGTAATTAAGTGACGCAATCGGGACAATGATTGTAGTGTTGAGCGGCTAATGTCTAGCGAACAAATGTCAATGAATTGAAGTCGCGGTAAATTGTGGTCAATATCGCGGAAAAATCGATCGTCACAGACAACAACTCTAAGATTGACTAACAAATGTGTTAATTGTTTGAAAGGTTTTAGTAAATCAATAGTCAGTATTGACTTATCATCGGATTCATTGATAACTCGACAATTAATGTACAGTCGTTTCAATTGTTTCAGATCTTTGCCAAATGTTTTTATTAATTGTTGAATTGATTTTAATTGAATTTCTTCACCAGAACAATCATCTAAGTAAAGACATCTTAGTTGACGACAACATCGACGGCTAAATTGTTGTCTCAATAGTTCATCGATAAACAGATTATAATTGTAATTTAAAATTTTCAATTGCTTTAATTGACAAAATTGTTTGGACAACAATGTCGTCACAAATGACTGAATTTCGCTATTTGTTTGATAAGGAAATCGGAAATTAATGCTAAGGTTTGTCAATTGCTGGCCATAATTAGCAACAAACTGACTAAACAATGGCAGACAATTGACTGACACATCAATAAACATCGATCGTAGACTTGCGGGCAACAGACCACTCGTGACTACCACTTGTTGTTGTTCTTCTTCCTCTTCTTCTTCTTCTTCATCTTCTTCTTCTTGTTGCTGTAATTGAGCATAAATTAAGTCTCTAAACTCTATCCGATTGCCGTAACATTCTAGACGCTTGAGTTGCGGTAAAGTTATAACTAGTTTTTCGGTAAATATTCGTTGATTTATTTCACCAATGCTTAACTTGAATGTTAACAACTGTGGACCAAATGTTTGCAAAAAGCGGTCAAAAGTCGGAAGTGTACCGTAAAGACTGTTGTAATCGGAACTAAATTCAATGCTAATGTGTTGCAAAAGCGGACAGTAAGTGACCAATAGATCGAGAAATTGGCCAAAAATATCATAAAATTCTACTGAACGCGACTGACGTCTGACAACAACACGTCTAACGTTTGGACACTTTTTAACGATGGCTTCAATAATAAATATCTTTTGTAACCTATGTTTTAAACTGAATTCAAATGTTTGACAAAATCTATTATTAAATATGAGATCAGTTTGTCCGGCAAATAACAATTGCAACCATTGTTTGGACACCGATTGTAGTCTCCATTTGTCTTCAATCGGCAAAAATTTCAGCAATAGTTCAGTCAAATCATCGCCGAAGCGATCAAACGAGTCATTCTTCACTAACATTGTTGTTGTTTTTGTCTTCAGTCTTCAAATATCTTTATTATTATTATTACTTCAAAAAAAACTTTATCTGAAAAATAAATAATAAATATAATCAAAATGACTAATAAATTAAGTAATAATAATAATAATATTGATCTCTCTCTCTCTCTCTCTCTCTCTCTCTCTCTCTCTCTCTCTCTCTCTCTCTCTCTCTCTCTCTCTCTCTCTCTCTCTCTCTCTCTCTCTTATACTTTATTTCAATAAAACTGTCTTCAAATGTCTTCAAATGTCTTCAAATGTCTTCAAATGATGTCTTAATCGGTGATTATATTCAATCTATTAGTTGTTGTAATCAATGAACACAACAAACAAAACAAAATTTTAATTCAATAGTCAATACAATCAATGATAACACAAATCAAAACACAAAACAAATGTTTATTATATGAATACAGTATTAATACTAAAATATTACCAAAAAAAATGTTTTAATAACACATAAAATCACAAACAATATAAAACGTATTTAAATTATGACTAAATATTTTTATTATAATATACAATATATTAGTGTTAATAGTATAGCAATGAGAGGGTATTGAAATGTTTTTAACGTTATTTATCTTAATATTAATTGAATGTACAAAATATCGCATTATAATACTAGAGTATAATATTAATATTTAATACAATTATTATTTTAATAATTTATAAATGTTATACAGTATTGTACTATATATACAAGTAATATAATATAAATAATAGCAATATGATATACAAGTGGTCACCCGATCGGGTCAAATGGTCACTCGTTGACAATATGATTACGGCTGACATGAATTTAAAGCGCAATTTTTGATACAATTAAGTGATTAATATTTTTTTATAAATTATGATTTCTCAATATTTTTATTAATTAATTATATTTATAAAACTTATTTGATTACACAATATATAACAAATTAGATTTAATAAAATAAAAACAATTGAATTCAAATAAAAGTTAGTTAATTATAATACATTACTGTATATAATTTATATATATAATATTTCCGGTAATTAAAAAAAATCTACAATAAAAATTTACCGGTAATTTTAATTTATAATTAGAAAATTATTAAAAATTTATTAATTTATATATAATTAATAATATTAAATGTTTTAAAAACTATTGTATCTATAACTTGACTATAAAAACAAATAAATAAATCAATAATTATAAAATGATAATTTAATGATTAATTTCCTAATTTATTACTAATATAGTAATCATATACATATAAATAATCATTTTTCAGTTAATATTAATAAAACCACTTTAAAACCATATCTTTAAGGAAAAATCCTTTTTTGAATTTTTTTAATGTAATGTCCGATATGTAAACATTTGTGACCTTCGGTTGGGCCGAAATCAGATCATCCATAATATAGTCATCAGAGATATCAGTGTTACGACATTTGGCCAATTGTACGGTATTTAAGTGTTTCAATTGGGACAGAGATTTGAGTGATTCACGAGTTATGTCAAGACTTTCAATGCTAATGACTTGAAGTCGCGGTAAATTGTGGTTAATATCATAGAAAAACTGGTCGCCACAGACAGTCTCTCCCAAATTAAGTGACAAATGTGTTAATTGTTTCATTTGGTTAAATAAATCACTTGTTATTACATAACTCTCAACTATTGTATTAACAACTTTATAAATTACATTACAATGAATGGCCAGTCGTTTCAATTGTTTAAGATATTTACCCAATGAGTCCACTAAATCATTAAACGTATAATAATTAAATCGATGAGAATATATAAAAAGTCTATTAATTTTATGACATTTTCGACAAAAATCTTGTTTTAATAACAGAGATATAAAGTCAGACATATTGTTGTGTTCAAGTTTGAGATGTCTTAATTGACACAATTGTGATAATGCCGTAACAAATAATGACATATTTGTATTGGACTTAAAGTCGAGGACAATGTCCAGTGATGTCAATTGATTGCCATAAATAGGAACAGACTTAGCAAAGAGTGATTGCCAATCATTTGTCAACCGAAATGATACCGACTGTAGACTTGTTGGCAAAAGACAAACTCCTTGTATATTGAAATAGTTATTAAAATCTATTAAAGATTTTGTATCTTTGATAACAAGTTTTGAAATTTTATGTAAATAGTATCTGACTTTTCTGGCAATTTCTTCATGTTTATCATAACTAATATCTATACAAAATATTATTAATTGGTTTTCAAAATAGTTGAAAAGTATATCGAAATTTTCCATATTAAAGTTACTAATATGAGAAATATATAATGATAAATGTCTTAGATTTCTACACATTTCTATTAGTAAATCAATATCTTCATTAAAAGTATTGATTTCATAAAATATTACTGTATTTATAGCACACAAGTGTATAATTTTTTTTAAAAATCTTGTGTCTATTTTCTGTATTATTAGTAAAATCAATGTTAAAATCAATTCCCATAGTTTTATTGAATTTAAGATATTTGAAACTATTGAACATCACATTAAACCATTGTTTGGCAATCTTTTGCAATCGAAGTTTATCTTCAATCGGCAGATATGTCAACAATAGTTCAGTCATATCATCGCCGAACCGATCAAACGAGTCCTTCTTCACTGATGTTGTTGTGGTCATTGTCTTCAGTTATCTTTACTTTTTATTTTGTTGTTGAAAATATAGTAACTTCTATTGATTCACTTAAAACTATTTGAAAAAATCATTATAAATTGAAGTTTGAGTTAATGATTGAATTGTAAGATTGCATATAATTTTTAACAATATATTGTTAACATTATTAAAACTTACAATTGATTGGCAATCAATTATAATGACAATAGAATTCACAAAATGATACTTTTATGAAAATATTTTGGTGATTACAATGAATGTAACAAATTTTAAACTATCATTAATATTTTATTAACAAACAATCAATGATTTTTATGGTCTAATATAAGATTAAATGTTTACACTTTTTTGGCCAAATGTAACCACAAAAAATCGGTTAATATAGTGCTCGACGAGTGACCAGTTATAATCTTGCGGTAGATATAGACAATTGTGTTGCAAACGGCGACAGTATATCGCAAATAAAGTTTATTTGACTGATAATTAATTAATGATCACTGGTATAGAGTTTGGACACGAAAATCAAATAATTATTAATTCAATAAATTAATAAAATTGCATAAAAAACACAAACAATGATTGACAGTAAAAAACGCTATAATAAACTGTACAATAATTCATAAATTACAATAAAAACTAGTTGAAAATGCTAGAAAGCATTTCCATACGAACTTTTAATTAAAACTAGTTGAAAATGCTAGAAAGCATTTCCATACGAACTTTTAATTAAAACTAAAAATTAATTTTAAATCAAATTATTGTATGATTTTATTGTATGGAGTAACAATTTTAATAAATTTTAATAAATAATTACTTTAAACATCTATAAAGTGATAAATAAGTAATAATAAATATTTATTAAAAATAGTAATTTTTAAATCTATAAATTATAAAGAGTTGGGCCGAAACATAGCGGAGCCGCTCGGCTATCGGTTGCCAGAAAATTTGAACGACACAACACTGATTATGTATACGTCAGGTACTACTGGCCAACCGAAAGCTGTATGCATATCCCATCATCAGCTATACTCCAGTGCCCGATCACTGTTGAGCGTTACCACCAACGATATGACCAACGATGTCGACCGACATATCCATATATCTTACTTACCGTTGGCTCATATGTTAGGCTTTTCGTTGGACTCGTTTTGCTTTTTCTGTAAGTTTTTTATTTAGTTTGTTAAAAAAATATCTGTTAATTAATTATAATTTATACGATATTTTAGTTTTTTTTAAATCTCTATATCTCTATATTAAAATTTTGTTTTTTTTTAGTTTAACTACAGTAATTAGTTATGATAGCATATATAACATAATATAACTAGATTTTGATATAAATTTAATTAGTATTAATTTTTTTGAATTTAGATTTTTTGAATTTTTAAAATTTAGTATTATTATATAATTAATAATATTTATTAAAATCTATACCTGTTTACTTAAAATACTATAATGTATTTTAAGTAAACAGATATAGTAAAAATAATTTAATATTTATAATATAATTATTAATTAAAAATTTATACTAAATTAAATTTTTTTAAATATTATATAATAAAATAATTTCTAAATAATATATAAAAATTACTAAACTCTCTCTCTCTCTCTCTCTCTCTCTCTCTCACTCTCAGGTGGCGTCAAAATAGGCTACAGTTCTCCATTTACATTGACCGATACATCGCCAAACTTGGCCAGTGGCCAACAGGGCGATCTAAAATTACTTAAGCCAACATCTATGCCGGCCGTACCGCTTGTGTTGGACCGACTGCTCAAAGATATCAACGAAAAAATACGGTCGGCGTCGCCAATAGCCGGTCCTCTGTTTGCTTATCTAATGCAATATAAGATACGTTGGACTCAGAGAGGCTATCGGACGCCGATAATCAATAGGCTGTTAACCAATCGGATCAGTGAGGCTATGGGCGGCCAATTGGAGCAGTTTATGATAGGTGGGGCCCCATTGAATCCACATATCAATGCCTTAATGAGAGCTGCACTAAATCTTAAGCGTTTATCGATTGGTAATTAATTAGTTATATATATATTTTTAAAAAATTAACCAAGATAAATTTAGATAATAATAAATTATATTATTTTAGGATACGGTGCCACCGAAACAACTAGCGGTGCTATCGGTACGTATGGCAACGATTTTCAATACGAATCGGTTGGCTGTCCTGTTTACGGTATCGACATAAAACTGGTCGACTGGCCAGAGGGAGGCTATTTGACTACCGATCGGCCACGAGCTAGGAGTGAGATACTGATCGGCGGCGATATTGTTAGCAATGGCTACTTCAAAGAACCAGAGCTGACGGCACAGGTGTTTCAAGTGGACAGTGACGGCCAGCGATGGTTTCAAACGGGAGATATTGCCGAAGTTAGCGACGACGGTATGTTCAAAATAATTGACCGCAAAAAAGATCTGTCAAAACTGTCTAATGGAGAGTATGTATCATTGGGAAAGGTATGTATACACAGTAGTACTGTATGTTTGTTATGTTATGAGATATTGTAAACTACCAGTGCTTAACATTTATTACAAAAAATTACTATTAGATTGAAGGGACACTAAAATCATGCGATTTTGTCGACAATATATGTATTGTTGTTAACAGCGAATACAGCAATTGTGTAGCACTGGTAACACCTAATCGTCGGGCTATCCATAAACTGGCCAAACAATTGGGACTAATTAACAACAGTGATAGTAATAATAATTGGGAACAACTGTGTATTGATAGTCAAATTGTCGACACTGTACTCCAAGGTCTAGCCGATACTGGCCAACAAAATGGTTTGACCCGCTTGGAGATACCAGTGCGCTGTAGACTATGTCCTGAGGAGTGGTCACCCGATAACGGTATGATTACAGCGGCCATGAAATTGAAGCGCAATGTTGTTATGGATTACTATAAACCAGATATCAATGCAATGTTTGATACAATTCAATGATTAATAATTATTTAGGTTTTAAAAAATGTTTTTTTTATTAAATATAAAGTATCTTAAATATTATTGTTAGTATGAATTAATTATAAGTTTTTTAAAAAAAATCTATTAAAGCAAATATGTGTTTAATATTAACTTAATAAAAGATACAAACAATTATAGTTGTGTTATTGTTATATATTATTTATAAAAAAAAATTAATATTACTTTTGTAATTAGTTTTCATCAATATATATATATATATAATAATTAAAGAAAAATATTTATAATAATACAGTAAATTCTAATAAATGATAAACATTTACATTTACATGTAATAGTTAATTATGTAAATAAATACATTAAATTATAAATGTAAAAAAATATTTAATCAAAATATTGTAATTGATTTTTTAAATATGACCCAGTTACAAATGAAAAAATCTTTTTTCTAATATCAGTAGTTAAAGAAATATTAGTCACTTTTGATTTTTGCGGCGAAATTAAATCACTGATAATCTGGTGGTCAGTGATAACTAAGTTACGACAATCAGCTAATCCTATGGTTACGTAAGTGACGCAATCGGGATAATGATTGTAGTGTTGAGCGGCTAATGTCTAGCGAAAAAAATGTCAATGAATTGGAAGTTGCGGTAAATTGTGGTCAATATCGCGGAAAAATCGATCGTCACAGACAACAACTCTAAGATTGACTAAACAAATGTGTTAATAGTTTAAAAAGGTTTTAGTAAATCAATAGTCAGTATTGACTTATCATCGGATTCATTGATAACTCGACAATTAATGTACAGTCGTTTCAATTGTTTCAGATCTTTGCAAAATGTTTTTATTAATTGTTAAATTGATTTTATCGGCGTTTTTTTTAACTAAATTTGATTGTAAGTTAAGATGCTTAAGTTGACTACAACAGCGACGGCTAAACTGTTGTCTCAATCAATAATCAGATTATATTTGTAAGAAAAATCAATTACCGATAATTTCTATTGTTTTAATTGATACAACTGTTTGGACAATACCCGTATTAAATGACTGGACGAGATATCAGTGTTATGGTTGAGATAATAATTAATGTGATTTTACAGTAGTTTTTTTTATCAATATATAAAATTCATGTTTATTTAATTAATAATTTGATTATCAAATACAATTAGTATAAAACAATAATATAAAAAATCCATTAAATAAGTAAATTATTTATCACAATGTTTTTGTTTGTTTGGACACAAAATTTTGGTTATCAAATAAAAAATGGTATTAATTATTAATATTAAATATAATATTAAAAATAAAACTAAATTTTAAATGAATATTAATTATAAAATAATTTAATTATAAAAATATTCTATAACTTTATAAGCCATAGATATACTGAACGTTACAATCATAATAATCACATTAATTTTATTAAAAAACACTAACTTTAAAATATATAAATGTTAGATAAAGTATTAATAAAAAATTTAATTAACTAAATAAGTTAGTTAAACCAAATTAAGTATAACCCAACAATTGGTTTGCCAATTTTGTAATCATTTTTACAATTTAAATAAGTTATAGAAACAGTGATGATTTTACTGCGATATGACGTTATAATACTCTCAATGCAATCAATGGGCGTAAAACTGTTGAGACAATTATGCAATTGTAATGTTTGTAAATGTTTTAATCGGGACATTGATATCAGTGACGACCGGGAAATGTCTGGTCTACTGATATCAACGCATTGAAGTCGCGGTAATTGATTGGCAATGTCCTCGAAAAATAAGTCACCGAAGACACCATCTCCAAGATATAGCGATAAATGTGTCAATTGTTTTATATATTCCAGTGAATCACTCGTTATAATAGCTATATTGTTGTCTGTCTTTACAAGATTGTTAAAGTGAATCGACAGTCGTTTTAATTGTTTGAGATCTTTACCCAATGTTTTGATAAATAGTTTGATTAGTTTATCAGTTATTGATTTACTATTTGATGAAATGGAAAAACATTTCAATTTCAAACACTGACGACTAAATCCATGAGATATCAAATTTTCAATAAATTCTTCACAAAACGCCCTAATCTGTAGTCTAAGTCGTCTTAATTGCGAAAATTGTGACAATGACTTAACAAAATCGGGAACAACTGTTTTGTCTTCAAACTTGACTTCAATTTGAAGTGTTATCAATCGTTGTCCATAATTGTCGGCAAACAGACCAAACAATGATTGCCACTCAATTGTCATATCAAATGATACCGACTGTAGACTTGTGGGCAACAAACAGACTTTAATTTTATTGAAAAAAACGCAAAAATCTATTAATTTTGAACTATCAATGACAACCAACTTCTTGAGTTTCGTTAAATAATGGTTTACTTTATTGACAATCACTGGATGATTGTTTTCATTTGTCAGTATTTCAAATGATTTTAATTCATTAAATTTTTGGAAAAATGGATCAAAATTGTACAAAACTATATCTTGTGTAATGTGAATATTTAGTGAAACATTTTGTAAATTATTGCACATTTCTATCATTGACAACAAATTATTATCAGTTGTGAGACTACTGTTATCAAATATAATTGAAGTCAATTTAGCGCATTTGCTTATTATTGAATTGAAAACTTCATCCTTATATATGTCATCACTTTTAATGTCAATACCACATACTCTGCCAAATATTAAGCAATTAAATGAAGTCAACAATAGTCTTAACCATTGTTTGGCAATTGATTGTAATCTTAACTTTTCTCTAATCTCTAGATTATGCAACAGATAATCACACAAATCATCACCGAAGCGGTCAAACGAGTCCCTCATTATTGTATTTGTGGTAATCTTTACAGTTATTGTCGCCGACGATGTTGTGTTTATTAATAGTTAATAGTTTTCACAGAAATATATGCAATCCTTTGATAAATCACTTGCAATTCATATGAAATAAAAATCAATTATTAGATATTTGTTTGAAATATTTATTTAATTAATTAAATACATTGTATTGTTTTGCATTGAAAACACCTTTAAAATGTTTAAAATATTTGTATTTAAATTGTAATTAAATGTTTAATAAATTCAAAAATATAATGTTATAATAAATAAATAATACAAATAATATCAATATTAGGGACTGTTCACTATATTACGTTCGCACTTTTTTAAAAATCTGGACCTCTCCTTCCCTTATGTTAGCAAATGTTCGCATATAGTCATTATAAAAAATTACGTTCAAATTTTCATATCAGCTAACCCCCCCCCCATTACTAAAAAAATATTAAAATACGAACGTTATTAATATCATTACCCCTCCACTCCTCTTGTTCGCAAAAGTTCGCTTTGGCCGAACCCCTCACCCTCCCCTCAAGTGCAAGCGTAATATGTGAACCACCCCTTATAGTAATATTTACATTCAATTGATCAGTATTTTTAATATAAATAGTATACTATAAATATATTTTGTTAAAATTTTTAATTATTATTTTTCACAAAAAAAAGTAATAAATTGTGTATAAATTTTGTTTAGATCTAATCAATCAATAGTTACAACTATTCAATGGTTAGTCAATCAAAAATGTATTCACAACGCAAATAATACTGTATTTGTAATTAAATAACAAAATACAAAAAAAAATTAGTAATAATTTTTTTATAAAAATAAATAATAATTAAAGTTTTCTAGGTTTTAATCAAAGATCATAATAATAATAATAATAATAATAATATTTTAAAAGATATAATAAAAATATTAAAAAATATTTTATAAATTTTTTAGCAAACTTATAGGAAAAATAGTTAATAATTACAATAAAGCTAATATAAAAAAAATTAATTTTATACATTGATAATTAAATATTATTATGTGTACTTAATGAAATTAGTATAAAATATAATTTTTATAGAATATAATACTGTAGTTTAAGTAAAATATTTTATATGAGAATTATTTTTATTATTATTATTAGTAGTAGTAGTAGTAGTAATAATAATAATAATAATAATAATAATAATAATAATAATAATAATAATTATAATATAAAATTAATAATTTTAGCTAACATTTTAAAAATTCATTTTAGTTCACAAATTTAGTTTATTTGAAAAATATTTTAAAATAAAAATTTTTTTAAAAAGGAGAGTAATCACAATAAAGAGAAAAATATGTACGAAAATATTGATTGTAATTACCTTTGATAACATATTTAGTATTTTTACTAAACGATATGTAAACATTGGTGACCATTGATAGCGCCGAAATCAGATCATCCATACTATAGTTGTCATCAATATCTGGATTATGACAACCGGCTAATCGTACGCAATTTAAGTGACGCAATCGGGACATGGATTGCATTGACTCACGAGTAATGATCGGATTATTGATGTCAATGAATTCAAGTCGCGGTAAACGGCTGTCAATATCCCGGAAAATCTCGTCGCCGCAGAATTTAGATAGAAAATGAAGCGACAAATGTGTCAATTGTTTCATATTTTTTAGTGAATCACTGTTTAGTATTGTCTTATAATTGGATAATTCATTTTCAGCAAAACAATGAATGGCCAGTCGTTTCAATTGTTTAAGATCTTTGCCTAAAATATCAATCAATTGGTTAATAGATTCTCTATTTATATTGTTATAAGAATCTCCGGTTAGATATAGACGTCTTAGTTGATGACATCGACGGCTAAAATGTTGTCTCAATAGTTCATCAATTAATTGATTAAAATGATCGAATCTAACATGTATTCGGAGTCGTCTTAATTGACAAAACTTTAATAATGTCGTTACAAATGTTTGTTCAACCGGTGTTTCGTCCCTTAAGTCACATCTAATAATATCTAATGCTTTCAATTGGTGACCATAATTGATTGCAAACGACGCAAACATTGGCAGACAATTAGCTGTCAATTCAATGCAAATCGACTGTAGACTTGTGGGCAAAACAACAATACCTCTGAACACATCTTGTTGTTGATAATCAAATAATTCATTAATCGTTAGCTGACTTCCGTAATATTTTAAACATTTGAATTGATGTAAATGTGGCAAAAATTTGTCGCTAAACATCAATTGAGTGCTGCAATCGGTAATAAACTTAAATGTCAGCAATTGTTGGCCATAGGCGGCCACAAAACGTTCAATAGTTTTATCGGTAACTTCGGCCAGAAAGCTACCTCGTGGCGGTATATATTCAATAATAATGTGTCGCAAACGCGGACAGTATATTATCAATAGGTCGAAAAATTGATCAAAAATTTCATCCAAACGTATATATTGATTGTATACCGATTGACGGCCGACTACTAGTCGATCAATTTTTGGACACTTCTTAAAGATTGACTCAAAAATCATAAATATTTCATTACGTCTTCTTTCAGTAAAATTAAATGTTTTATAAAAACTATCGCCAAATATGAGATACGTTTGTCCAATGAATAACAATTGCAACCACTGTTTGGACACCGATTGCAGTCTTAGTTTGTCTTCAATCGGCATATATTTAAACAATAGTTCCGCCAAATCATCGCCGAAGCGATCAAATGAGTCATTCTTCGGTGTCATTGTTGTTGTATTTGTCTGTTTAGTCTTCAGTCTTCTAAATATCTTTATTATTATTATTACTTCAAAAAATTTTTATCTGAAAACAAAATAATAAAATCAATTAAAATGTCTAATAAATAAAATAATAATAATAATAATATTTCTCTCTCTCTCTCTCTCTCTCTCTCTCTCTCTCTCTCTCTCTCTCTCTCTCTCTCTCTCTCTCTCTCTCTCTCTCTCTCTCTCTCTCTCTCTCTTATACTTTATTTCAATAAAACTGTTTTCAAATGTCTTTAAATGATGTCTTCATCGGTGATAATATTAAATCAATTATTGGTTGTAATCAATGAACAAAACAATTAAAACAAAACTGCAATTCAATAGTCAATGCAATCAAACAAAACAAATGATTGCATTCAATGATAACACAAAACAAATGTTTATTATATTAACATAAATACAGTACTAATACTATAGACTATAGACTATAGACTATAGACTCTATAGTATAGAGTATACAATACTGTATAGTCTATAGTTATTAATAAATTAATAAATTTAATTAAGACATAAAATAACAAACAAAATAAAACGTTACTTCCATTGTATTTAAATGACGACTAAATATTTATATTATAATATACAGTATATTAGTGTTAATAATATAGCAAACGTTAAATAACAGGGTATTTGAATATTTTTGCCGTTATTTATGGCCATTAGTTGAATATTATACAAATTATTACATTATTTAGTACATCATAATATTTAGCGATCAATACATAGTTGTAATATTTGTAATAATTATTATTTATAATTTATTATTATTACGAGTAATTATTTAGTATAACTATAATAATATAAGTTATTAAAAAATTAATTTTTTAAAAACCAAACAACAATAGTGCAAATTGTTTTTAGCTTTTAAAAAATAATTAACAAATAAGGCGTGTTTCACATATTACGTTAGCACTTGAGGGGGGGGTAACCAAAGCGAGCTTTTGCAAACGAGGGGGAGGGGAGTGATAGAGACTTTAACATCGTTCGCATTTAGATAATATTTTATTTCTTGTGGTGGGGAGGGAGTGGGTCTAGATTTCTTAAAAAGTGCGAATGTAATATGTGTACAGCCCCAAACTAATTAATTAATTATTACTAACAATATCGTTAATCCAATCAATAAATATTGATACTCTAATAAATGCCATGTGTTGATAGGGATCTCCAATATGACAATCGCCACCCAATCGTTTTGTACCCCTAAAGTAAGCCAATAAGTACGGCCCGACCCCCGCCGTCCACATAATAGATCAATGGTCCACCAGAATCACCCTATTATTTATGATTAATAATTTTATTTATTTTGACATTTTTAACTTTATTTCATTTTAAATCTAGTATTTGAATTAAAGTTTAAGTATTGCTTTAATTGTTAAAAACTTTAAACAAATTGTATTTGATTTTAATTTTATTTATTTTGACATTAATTGTTATGTGATATAGGTTTAGATATTAGATATTATTGCTAATAGATATTATTAAATTTTATTAAATATTAAATAAAATATGTTTACAATATATAACAACAAAAGTTAGTGATTAAAGTTTTGAAATAAAACATAATATCCTATACTTAATAAAATTATTAACAAAAAAACGTCAAACAAATACACATAATATTTAATAATTATAGTATTTGTTACCAAACTAATAATAATAACAATGCAATAACTAATTATTACTATTAATTAGTAACTAATTATTAGAAATATACTGTATTACTATAAAAAAATTATATGAATCAAATAATATCAAAAATTTAAAAAAAGTATATAACAGTTAAACAATTTTAATGTGTTTTTTAATTAATTAATTAATTATTATTAACTGTATCGACAATCCAATCAATAAATTTTGATACTCTCATAAAACTCATACGTTTTGATGGGTTTTTACTTTGACAATCACCCTTTCTTACGGAAGCCCATTGTAGACCAATAAGTACGGCCCGACTCCCGACATACTGGACCAATGGTCCGCCAGAATCACCCTATTATTTGACACCACCCCCCAAAAAAGCAAACGTATAAACATTACTTGTCTTAGATAATACACTTAATTTCTATTATTTCCTTAAATACTTAAAAGCCAGGATTGCTAACAGTTTTCGATTTCAGGGGGGGTATAGGGGGTAAAATGGCAAAACTCGAAAAAGTTTGGGCCCCCTAACTTTTTGGCTTTAGGCAGTGGGGGGTAAGATTCAAAATTTTTGGATCTCAGGAGGAGAGGGGTAAAAAGTCATACCCCCCTTAGCAACCCTGTTAAAAGGGATCTAATTTTACTAATTTAGTTTACATAAAGCATATATTATTATCTATTAATCAAACCAACAACAAAAAACATTACTAACCCTACAAACAGCAGCACTTGTATCTTCTAATGGATGCCTGTATCCTAATATCCAATTACCCATTGCATCGATTTTATTATAGACAGGTTTGGCAATCATCAGCGAACCCATCATCAGTGGTCCATAATTGTCGACCCCTTCATCAATATAACCGAAACCGGCAATCAATGCCAACTCATTATCCGTGTTAATCAAATCAATGTCCGGCAAACAAATACCGTTTATCAGTGAATATTGATTACCACTACTTGTTGTTGTTATGACAGTGTTTGATATGGGTATCTGTTGAACCAGTTTTACTAATGCAATGTCATATCTATGGTCAGGTTGTTTAGCACCAGTTTTTTGAAAGTCCGGATGAATAAACGATTGGCTCATACCGTATGTATGTCCTTCATGTCTCCAATCGTAAACTGTGCGCACAGTTATCGTATGATTAGATCTATTTGATTAGTATTTAATTATTGAAAAAAAAACAAATTTATTATACTGTATTGAACACAATTAAAAATAAAAATGTGATGTAATAATTACCTAATACAGTGTGCATTAGTTAATATCCAATTGGCATTTAATACAACACCAGTGCATTTTGAACTAAAATTATATAAACAGTATATATACAGTATATTACAGTATAGTTTAATAATATTATATTTAAATACTTATAGATATCAAACATAAAAAAACAAACAAATCAAACAAACCTTTTTTCTATAGTTTGATTTACAAAATATTTTTTCATTAAAATCAATGCAATCCACGGCCACTCTCCCGGTTCGGCTAACCGTCCGTTTTGGATATTTTCAGTCATACTATAGTGTAGACACTGACCGGTCATCAACAATGACTGTCTGCCGATACCACACGTGTCGAGCGTTACGTTCGGGTATTGTTTGATATGTGAGTGCAAACCATTCATCACTACTACTACTGTTATCATTGATATTAAACTAATAATTAAAATAATTGTTTTATAGATTTCAGCCATTTTTATACTGTATTTTTTAAATGTATATATTGTTATATTGTAAAACAATTATAGTGCAACTAAAATACTAAATTTTTATTGAAAATAATTCTCATATTTAGTTTTTTTAAAATTTAAAACATTACGTAACAATGTTAAACATATATTTGAAATTTTTAAAGTAATATGAGGATTATAAGAATATATATATAAACTTATAGAAAAAATATACATTTTATTATAATAATAATAAATCTATTGTATTACACGTAAGATATAAAGACATTAAAAATTTAAAACATAATTTAAAAACAACAAATTAATAAAAGTCAAAATAATTTTTAGTAATTATTAGTAATGTATTTTTATTTGTTATTTTTGGTTATATTTTGCTTTAACTACTTATTAATAGTTATGTGAAATAAGTATAGATCAGCTAATAAATTTTTAAAAAACTTATTAAATAATAAATTTTACAATAAATAGCCAACAACAACAAAAATTAGTGATTATAGTTATTGTAATAAAACATAATATTTTATAATTAATAAAATTATTAACAAAAAAAATTTTTTTTGAACAAATACAAATAATATTTAATAATTACAATGTACTAAACTAATTATTAATTATTATTAACTGTATCGACAATCCAATGAATAAATTTTGATACTCTCATAAAACTCATACGTTTTGTTGGGTTTTTAGTTTGACAATCACTTTGTCCTTGTCTTACGGAAGCCCATTGTAGGCCAATAAGTACGGCCCGACCACCGACATACTGGACCAATGGTCCGCCAGAATCACCCTATTATTTGACACCACCCCCCCCAAAAAAAACATACAAACATTACTTGTCATAGAAAATATACTTAATTTCTATTATTTTCTTAAATACATATAAAAAGCGATCTACTAAATAAATAAAAAAATATAATAAATTATAAATTTTATTTTAACTCTAATTTTATTACTGTTGTTATTTTAGTTTACATATATTATTATTATTATTATTATTATTATTATTATCAGTATTAAACACACCAACAACAACACACAACAACAACAAAAAACATTACTAACCTTACAAACAGCAGCACTTGTATATACTGATGGATGTTTGTAGCCTAAAATCCAATTACCCATTGCATCGATTTTATTATAGACAGGTTTGGCAATCATTATCGTACCCATCATTAGTGGTCCATAATTGTCGACCCCTTCATCAATATAACCGAAACCGGCAATCAATGCTAACTCATTATCCGTGTTAATCAAATCAATGTCCGGCAAACAAATACCGTTTACCAGTGAATATTGATTACCACTACTTGTTGTTGTTATGACAGTGTTTGATATGGGTATCTGTTGAACCAGTTTTACTAATGCAATGTCATATCTATGGTCAGGTTGTTTAGCACCAGTTTTTTGAAAGTCCGGATGAATAAACGATTGGCTCATACCGTATGTATGTCCTCCGTGTCTCCAATCGTAAACTGTACGCACAGTTATCGTATAATTAGATCTTTTTTTAATTAATATATAATTATTGGGAGGAAAAATAATTTTAAAAAAATTTATTATACTGTATTCAACATAGTTTTAATTAAGACAATATTTATTTATTTATTTTAAAATAACAATTTTAATTTAAAAATAAAAATGTGATGTAATAATTACAGTATACAATGTGCATTAGTTAATATCCAATTGGCATTTAATACAACACCAGTGCATTTTGAACTAAAATTATATATATATACATTATATTATAGTTAATATATTATATTTAAATACTTTATATTATTATTATTACCTTCCTGTTAAAGCATTATTTACTGAATATTTTTTCATTAAAATCAATGCAATCCACGGCCACTCTCCCGGTTGGGCTAACCGTCCGTTTTGAATATTTGCAGTCATATTATAGTGTAAACACTGACCGGTCATCAACAGTGATTGTCTGCCGATACCACACGTGTCGAGCGTTACGTTCGAGTATTGTTTGAAACGTGAGTGCAAACCATTTACCACTACTACTACTGATACTAATGTTATCAATGATATTAAACTAATAATTAAAATAATTGTTTTTATAATTTCAGCCATTTATTTAGTTTTTTATTGTATAAATTAAAAATATAATTGATTATATTACTGATTATTTTTTTATATAATACAATATTACAATATTAATTACAAATTTATTTTCCTTAATATCAATTTTTTTTTTAAATATCATATTTATTATAAAGTAATTAGAGAAATAATACTTGTTTTCTTAAACTTATGATACAATAAAATGTTAACTTGTTATCAACTAAATACAAACTAAGTTAACAATAAAATCGTTTTAATTTTTTTGCAAAAAAATTTTATTTATTAAAATTAATATTTTATAAAATTAATAGCATTTAGACAAGTTAGATAAACACATGCTATAATACATTTAGTGTTCATTTATAGGAAAAAACTAATTTAATAACAATATTAATAATACAATAATCAATTAGTATTGTAATTATTAGTATAAATTGATTATTACTTTATAATAAAAAATATTTAAGATTATTATTAAAATAATATTATATTGCATTAATAATTATGTTATTATAGTTTACATTAACAATAAAAATATATGAAATATTTAACTAAATATTTTTATATATTTTAAATATTATTACTATAATAAATATCAATAATAAATATCAACTATTTAATAGAAAAATATTGTTTATCATCTCTCTCTCTCTCTCTCTCTCTCTCTCTCTCTCTCTCTCTCTCTCTCTCTCTCTCTCTCTCTCTCTCTCTCTCTCTCTCTCTCTCATTCATTCTCTCTCATTATTTATTTATAGTTTTGTATATCAATTATGTTTTCATTTTATAATTTACATAATATATCGGAAATTATAAAAAGACAAGTAAACACTTAAAAAAATATTTTTCTATTTATTTAAAAAATATATAATAAAATTGAGAGTAAAACAACACTGAAATGTGTTTTGTTTTTCTACTAATTAATTAATTTTTAATAACAGTATCGATAATCCAATCAATAACTTTCGATACTCTAATATAATACATAGGTGTCAATGGGTTTTTAATAGTACAATCGCCAACAGTGCCGTTACTATAACTTCGTTTAGAAGCCCTGTGTATACCGATAAGTACGGCCCGACCCCCGACATACTGGATCAATGGTCCGCCAGAATCACCCTATTATTATTATTTGGTGTAATATAAATAAATTACTTATTATGATATTAATCAAAAAAAATTTTTTAAATAGTTTTTTGCCCAATGCTTATACAATGCTAAAACAATTCATAACACACCCGACCCCACCTCAACCCTCCAGTACTTATACTAAAGTATATTGTAGTTACAAACGCAGTAGTATAGTGTTAACAATAATAACTATAATATTATATTATATAAACAGTATTAATCACTAACTTATAGATATAGACTAACCTTACAATTAGCAGCACTTGAACTACTTGATGGATGTCTATAGGCTATTATCCAATTACCCATAGCATCGGTCCTATTATGAAAACGTTTGGCAATCATCACCGAACCCATCATCAGTGGTCCATAATTGTCTAATTTTTCATCAATATAACCAAAACCAGCAGTCAATGCCAATTCACTTACAGTATTAACAATATCTTTGTCTGGCAAACAAACACTGTTTACCAGTGGATATCGACCATCACTTAACGGTATGGGTATCTGTTGGTCCAATTTTATTAATACAATATCATATCTACCGTCTGGTTTACCACCAGTTGTTGTCTGATATTTTGGATGAATGAACGACTTGAGCACACCGTATGTATGGCCCTCATGTGTCCGGTCCTGTACTATGCGCACAGTTATCAAGTGATTAGTCCTTTTTTTGTCATTAGATCGAGAGATTAGATGTTTATAAAAATTTTTTTAAAAAAATTATTTTAAATTTTATTGTATTATATAATAATAATAATAATAATAATAATAATAATAATAATAATAATAATAATAATAATAATAATAATAATAGTTACTTAATACAATGGGCGCAAGTTAGTATCCAATTATGATTTAATATAACACCAGTGCATCTATCGCTAAATACATTAACAATAAATAAATAATTTAAGTAAAACATTTATTATTATAACATTTTTTTAAGTTATTAAAAAATACTAGATTATGATTAGAAAAAAACTAATTATAAACATTAGATTTTATGTTATAATTATTTAGTAGAACTATTTAAATACTCAGTAGTATTAAAATAATATTTTTCCATTAAAATCAATGCAATCCACGGCCACTCTCCCGGTTGGGCTAACCGTCCGTTTTGTATACTATTACTAGTCATTACATTGGATGACCACTTTAAACACTGACCGGTAGTCATCAACAACAGTGATTGTCTGCCGATACCACACGTGTCGAGCGTTACGTTCGGGTATTGTTTGATACGTGAGTGCAAACCATTCACCACTACTACTACTAATATATTTACCATTGATATTAAATTAATAAAAATTAATGTTTTATAGACTTCAGCCATTTTTAAATATATCTATATATATATATATACAGTACTATTATACTGTAAATATTGTTATATTGTAAAACAATTATAGTGCAATTAAAATACTGAATTTTTATTGTGTAATACATAAAAATAATTTCTCATATTTAGTTTTTTTAATTTAAAACATAACAAAAATGTTAAACATATATATATAAGTTATATATATAAACTTGTAAAGTAATTTGAGAAATAATATTTGTTTTCTTAAACTTATGATACATATACTGTACAATAAAATGTTAATTTGTTATTAACTAAATACAAACTAAATTAACAATAAAAATCGTTTTTTATTTGTTAAAAATTTTTATTTATTAAAATAAATATTTAATAAAATTACTAACATTTAACAAATTAGACAAACACATGCTATAATACATTTAGTAATAATTTGTAGAAAAAACTAATATAATAACAATATTAAAAATGCAATAATAAACTAATAAAGTAATTGTAATTATTAGTATAAATTACTTAATAATAATATAGTATTTGAGATTACTTTATTGCAGTATTGTTAAAATAATATTATATTTCCAATATATTGCAATAATAATAATAATGTTATTATATTTTACATTAACATTAAAAATATATGAAATATAATATATTATTTAATTAAATATTTTTACATATTTTAAATATTATTATTATAATAGATATCAATAATAATTATCAACTATTTAATAAAAAATTATTGTTTATTATCTCTCTCTTTCTCTCTCTCTCTCTCTCTCTCTCTCTCTCTCTCTCTCTCTCTCTCATTATTTATTTATAGTTTTGTATATCAATTATGTTTGCATTTTATAATTTACATATTATATCGAAAATTATAAAAACACAAAAAAACTCTAAAAAATATTTGCTAATTATATTTATTAAAAAATGAAATTAAATTGAGAGTGAAAAAACAACATTGAAATTTGTTTTGTTTTTCTATTAATTAATTAATTAATTAATTATTAATAACAGTATCGATAATCCAATCAATAACTAGTGATACTCTAATATAATACATACGCGCATAAATGTTTTGAATAGTACACTCCCGAACAGTACCGTTACCATAATCTCGATTAGAAGCCCTGTGTGTACCAATAAGTACGGCCCGACCCCCGGCATACTGGATCAATGGTGATCCAGAATCACCCTATTATTAATTGAAAAAAAAGATGAATAAGTAGTCAAACTATATATTGATATATATAAAAATACTGTATATGTAAAGGATATATTAGTTTTACTTAAAATTTTTGTATATATTTTATGAAATTGAAATAAAATAAGTTTTATAAATTTAAAAAAGTCTTACACATTATATATATATATATATATATATATATATATATATATATATTATCAACTACTTGAACTATTATCAAAATTTTGAATTATTTTTTTTTTAAAATAAAATTAAAACTTTAGATATTAAAATATATAGTCAATAAAACTTTTTTTTTATTACAATTTGTTAATGTTAAAGTTTATTTTAAACACCCTCCCTCCCTCCCTCCACCCCTTACCCCACCCCACCCCACCCAACCCATTAGCATAACCTTGATGTTAGTATATCAATTTATATACTGTATATGATACAGCAAAAAAAACACTATATTTTTAACAATATATTAAATAACAGATATACTAACCCTACAAACGGCAGCACTGGCCAAATTTAATGGATGCCTATATCCTATAATAAATGTGCCATTTGAATCGTTTTCATTAAAAAATGGTTCAGCAATCATCTGTCCGCCCATCATTAGCGGCCCATAATTATCGACTCCATCATCAATATAACCGAAACCGGCCATCAATGCCAACTCGTTTTCTGTATTAACAATATCTTTGTCGGGCAAACAAATGCTGTTCACTGACATCGGCTGCTGATATCGATGATGACCATCACTTGTTGTTGTGTTGGTGTTTGTGTCGGTGGTTGTGTTATCAGTGTTGTTGTTGTCTAGTATGGGTATCTGTTCAACCAATTTAACTAATGCAATGTCGTATCTTTTGTCTGGTTTACCACCGATTGTTTTGTTTGGATAGCCTGTATGAACAAACGATTGGTCAACACTGTATGTATATCCCATTGTATCTCTCATATCTTGAACAGTGCGCACAGTTAGCGTAAAGTTAGGTCTATTTTATTTTTAATTTTTTGATTTGGAAAAAAATATTTTTTATATATATATTACTTAGTATTGAACATTGAAGAAAAACAATTTTAATAATTTAAAATATATATATATATATATATTTAATAATTACAGTATACAATGTGCAGCAGTTAGTATCCAATTAGTGTTTAGTATACTACCAGTGCATCTATTTAATTAAATAAATACAGTATACGGTATATATATATTTGTAATATAAATTCAAATTAACTTTTTAAAAGACTATTTATTTATTTTTAAATAAATGTTTGATATTTATTAAAAACAAAACAAATCAAACATACCTTTTAACTATAGTTTTATTTTCAGAATATTTATTTAATAAAACCAATGCAATCCACGGCCACTCTCCCGGTGTGGCTAACCGTCCGTTTTGTATAGCGATCGCATTGGATGACCATCTGAAACACTGTCCGCCAGTCATCAACTGTGTATACCGTCCGATACCACACGTGTCTAGTGTTACGTTTGGGTAATGTTTGATACGTGAGTGCAAACCATTCACTACTACTACTACTGATAATAATGTTATCAATGATATTATAATAAGAAAAATAGTTGTTTTATAGATTTTAGCCATTTGTTTTTAAATTGTGTATAATTTTATAGTATAATAAAAAAAATCTTAATATAACACTAACACTGTTTGTAACTAATTTTTCTATAATACTAGTAATTTTATATATCATAGAATATTTAATTAAAATTTTTTTTTATAGAATATAATACTGTATAGTATAACTAAAATATTTTATATGAGAATTATTATTATTATTATTATTATTATTATTATTATTATTATTATTAGTAGTAGTAGTAGTAGTAGTAGTAGTAGTAGTAGTAGTAATAATAATAATAGCAATAGTAGTAGTAATATGCATTAATAGCATCTAAAAATATTTTTAAAATGTTATTTAATACTTTACTGTATTATACAATAAACAAAAATACTAAAAAATTCTTTAATATAAAACATTTCTATATAATTATAATTATTTATAATTATTATAAAAAAATAATAATTATTAATCTCTCTCTCTCTCTCTCTCTCTCTCTCTCTCTCTATAAAAAATTATTTAAAAAAATTATTGTGAATAATATCGATATATTATTAATTATTAATTTAGATTTGAACAAGTGTAGATTTTTATTAAAAATTTAATACATAAAAATTATTTTACTGTTTTATAAAATAAATAAAATTATATGATATAAATATATTGCAATTATAATTTTATTAAACATTAACACATAAATGAATTTATTAAATAATACTACTTAACTAATCAGTATTTATTTTTAATTACAATTTATGAATTCTAAACAAACTATTAATATATATTAAATATATATATGAATACTGAAAAATAAATTTAAACAAAAATAACAATTATAATTTAATTAAATTAATTATTAGTAACAATATTGACAATCCAATCGATAAATTTTGAGACTCTCATAAAAAACATTGGTTTATATGGATCGGTAGTCTGACAATTATTATTAGGACCTATTCTACTGCTACGCGAGTTTATGCCAATAAGTACAGCCCGATCCCCGACATACTGGATCAATGGTCCGCCAGAATCGCCCTATTATTTTAGTGTAATTAAAAAAAACTTATGCATCTCATGAATTTAATCAAAATGTTTATTTTTTATAGTTATATATGATTAACCAATCAACCAACCACCCGCTATCCACCCCCACCCACCCAATACTTATATAATATACTGTAGTTACACTAACGCAGTAGTATAGTGTTTACAATAATAACTATTGTCATAATCACTAACTTAGTTATATTGACTAACCTTACAAACAGCAGGACTTTCATTGCTAAATGGGTGTCTATATCCTAATATCCAATTACCCATAGCATCGGTCCTATTATCAATAAGTTTGTCAATCATGAGTCCAGCCATCATCAGTGATCCATTGTTGACAACTCCTTCATCAATATAACCGTAACCGGCACTCAATGCCAACTCATTAGCGGTATTAACAATGTCTTTGTCGGGCAAACAAATACTGTTCATCAGCGGCGGCTGATACCGACCACTACTACTATTACTACTACTATATGTTGTATCAACAGTTAGTATCGGTAACTGTGATACTAATTTCATTAATGCTAAGTCATATCTGGACTTTATTAGGCCAGTAGTTGTTGTAAAGTTTGGATGAATAAACCATTGGTTTACACGATATGTATGGCCAGGAAGTCTACGGTGAACTGTGCGCACAATTATTGTATAATCGGTCCTTATTTTTAAAAAATAGTAATATTTAGTATTACACCACAAAATAGAGATTGTGTGTTAAAAATTTCAAAAAATATATTTATATATACAGTATAATAGTTATATAATAATAATAATAACCTAATACAATGTGCAGCAGTTAGGATCCAATTTGCGTTTAATATAACACCAGTACATTGAAAACTAAAATTATATAAAATAAATATTATTGCATTAATAATAAATAAATAAAAAATATACAAAGTTTATGTTATAATTTAGTAATTAAAATAATAAATAAATTTATTTTTGTTATCCTAAACTAATTTAATAATTAATATATAATTTAAATCTTATTACTAATCTATTGGCATATTTTGCAACAAAAATTTATAATCAAAAACTAATGCAATCCACGGCCACTCTCCCGGTTCGGCTATTCGTCCGTTTTGTATACTACTAGTGGTCGCATAGGATGACCACCGGAGACACTGGCCGGTCATCAACAGTGATTGTCTGCCGATACCACACGTGTCGAGCGTTACGTTCGGGTATTGTTTGATACGTGAGTGCAAACCATTTACTACTACTACTGATACTACTGTTATAATAAATATTAAAGTAATAAAATTAATTGTTTCATAAATTTTAGCCATTTTATTGTTAATATATATATTTTTTAAATATTATAATTTATTAAATACTGTATATTTTGTATAACACTGACACTAAAGCTGGTTATTAAAATTTTGTGTATAATACTGATAATAAATTATCGTATTATTTTTCATTTAAAAACTGTATTATATTTAATATTTAAAAATTTTTAATAAAATATTATTTTTTAAATTAATATAAATATTATCAAAAATATTTTATTCATTTTATAAACTATAACTTAAGATGCAAATAAAAAATCATAATTATAATAAATAACAATAACTTATATTACAAAAATTATTTTTTATAAAAATTATAAAAGTAAATTTCAATAAAATTAAGTAAAATTAATAAAATAACAATACAATCAAACATTAATTTTAAATTACTGTATATATTTAACTTTAATTATTTTTAAAAATATTTAATACAATCTTGTTATCTTGTCAACAGTTTATTATATAATATAATTAGTACAAAAAAATATATATACTACTTTAATTAATTTTAACTAAAGTCAATGAAAAAATCTAAAACATTAATTTTAATATTTATAACTAATAAGTTGACAAACTAAAATTTTACAAATTATTACATTACAAATTTTTACAAAAAAATAAAATAATTTATAATTATTTAATTAATTTTTAGTAGTAATATCGACAATCCAATCAATAAATCTGGAAACTCTTATGAATGTCATATAAGTATTTGGTTCGTAAACCTGACAATTGCCGCCCAATCGTTTTGCACCCCATTGTAGACCAATAAGTACTGCCCGACCCCCGACATACTGGATCAATGGTCCGCCAGAATCACCCTATAAATTATAGAGAATGCAATTAAAAATATAACAATTTTTTACTAAAATAATAAAAGTATTATTAATAAAAAAACTAAAAACTATTAGTAAAAAAAATAATAATCAATTAAATTAATTATAGTATTAAATCTTGAGATAATTTTTTGAGACTATTTCAAATACTGTATACAGTATAAAGTTATATACAAACACATAAATAGTATATAAATTATATATATATATATTTAGTTTAGGTATTATTATTATTATTATTATTATTATAAACTTTATAAAATATTTAAACTAACCATACAAACAGCAGCACCTGTATTAATTGGATATCTATAGGCTAGTATCCATCTACCTAATGCATCCTCAAGTTTATAGACAGTTTTGGCAATCATCAGCGCACCCATCATCAATGGTCCAGTATTGTCCACTCCTTCATCAGTATAACCAAAACCGGCAGTCAATGCCCACTCATCGGCCATATTAACAATGTTTTTTTCGGGCAAACAAATGCTTTTCACCGACGGCTGATACCGATGACGATGATCATCGATATGGATGTTGTCCATTGGTATCGGTATTTGTGATTTCAATTTCAATAATGCGATGTCATATCTGTTGTCCACTTTATTGTCCGGCCTATTGAACCTGTTGTGAACAATCTGTTTCTGTACACCGTATGAATGGCCCGCATGTGTCCAATCCTGAACTGTGCGCACAGTTATCGTGAAATCAGATCTTTATTTATTTATTTTTTTTTGGTTATTTATTGATTATATTAATGATAAAATAATTTTTAAAAAACATTATATTTCTAAATATATATTTATATAACTTAATAATTTAATATATAAATTAATAATTACTTAATACAGTGTGCATTAGTTAGTATCCAATAGCTGTTTAGTACAACACCAGTGCATTTATTTCTAAATATATATTAATATATATTTATATAAATAGATATATAATGTTTTTATATAAAATTTTATGTAATCTATATATATATAATTTACAGTAAATACAGTCTACTTAATTATTTCAAAATTAGTCATATAAAACAAATATTAAAATAATTACTCATCTGTTGGTATAAATCCCCAAAAATATTTTTGTCCCGAAACATATGCAATCCATGGCCACTCTCCCGGTTTAGCTAACCGTCCGTTTTGTACACTACTCAGGATTACATTGGATGACCAATTGAAACACTGACCGGTAGTCAACAGTGATTGTCTGCCGATACCACACGTGTCGAGCGTTACGTTCGGGTATTGTTTGATACGTGAGTGCAAACCATTCACCACTACTACTACTGATACTACTGTTATCAATGATATTATACTAATAGTCAAAATAATTGTTTTATAGATTTCTGTCATTTATTTATTTATTTTTTTGTTTTATAAATTATAAAATTATAAGTAAAAATTGTTTTCAATTTAACACTAAAACTTATTATTAAAATATTGTTTAGTACTGACAATAATTTTAACATTTAGACTATAATATAATTTTTTTATAAGTAATACGAGAATTTGAAAAATAATACTTTAATATTTTATAAATTTAAATACAAATAAAATAATAATAAATTAGTTTATTTAAAAAAAAAACAATGAATCACATAGTTATTATCAAATATTTGATTTAAAAAAAACCCCCATAAGTTTCATAAAGTATTATTTGTTATTATAATTTTATAAAATAATTAATTATTACATATATTATATATACTAATATAAATTTAGGTATACTAATTTGTAATAGTTAGAAATTTTATAAAATAAAAAATAATAATTAATAATTGAATTAAGAAATTAATTTATAAATATTTTTTTAAAAAAAACATTATTTAAAAATAAAACAATTACCGGTAAAACTTAAAAAACTAAATTTACAATATTTAGTAAAATAAATTATCTATAAATATATAGCTATCACTGTTATTACTTAGATGGCCCCGAATAAATTCATTATTACCGCACTTGCCATACGATATATAAACATTGGTGACCATTGGCTGTGGTGAAATCAGATCACCGATAATATAGTGGTCAGCAATAGCCAAATCGTTACGACAATTGGCTAATCGTACGGTATTTAAGTTCGGCAATCGGGACAGCGATTTCAATGATTCGCGGCTAATAGACATCTCGAATGTACTGATAAATTCAAGTCGCGGTAAATGGCAATGAATATCATTGAAAAACTGGTCGCCGCTAATACCGATTCCCAAATCAAGCGACAAATGTGTCAATTGTTTCATTTGTTTCGGCAATTGAACAGTCAGTATAATACTTGTGTCCAAATAGTCGTACGAAGAACTATCTGGTAAATCGCTAACATTCCAGACAATAGACAATCGTTTCAATTGTGTTAGATCTTTGGCCAATCTGTCCATCAACTGATTGAATGTCTGATCACTGATACTATTATCACTATTATATGAATCTAACGACTCGATAACCAGACTCTTGAGTTGCGGACATCGGCGGCTAAACTGTTGTCTTAATAGTTCGTCGATTAAACGGTTTCTATATCTACGAGTTGTTAGCCTAAGTCGTCTCAGAGCTGACATCTGCGACAGTGCCGACACAAATGATTGTTCACTTCCGCCGCCAGTGCGGTAACCGCCACTGTAGCCGTCGGTGGCAAACTGGTCGACAACTTCAATGTCCAGTGCTGTCAATTGCTTGCCATAGGCGGCGGCAAACGTTGAAAACAGTGACAGCGAGTGCGGGTATTCAGTGGTCAATCTAAACGATACAGACTTGAGACTAGTTGTTGTTGTCGGCGGCAATTGGCAGACACCGCGATCGTTGAAAAAGTATCGCAGATCTACTAAGACATCTTCATCGCCGATAACCAGTTTCTTGAGTTGCGGTAAACAGTGTTGACCGATGATGTTGACCACCGATAGACGACTTTTATAATCACTGCTCAACTCTAGACTCAACAATTGTGGTGCAAATGTCCGAAATAGTCGATCGATAGCCTCTTCACTGATGGCCGGTCTGTGCTGTTGAAGACAGATGTGCTGAAGTCGTGGACAGTTGACAACCAATAGGTCGACGAGTTGGTCAGCGATTGTATTATTATTATTATTATTACTGTTATTAGAAGTCAAACAACGGCAGACAACTCTCTGAATGTTTGGACAGTTTCGGACAATTGCCGCAAACAGAGCCAAACTTTTCCGCTGTCGCCGATAATCATCTAAACAATCGATGTCCGAAAACTCTATGGCCGTCTGACCCGTAAATATCAATCTCAGCCATTGTTTTGATACTAATTTCAGTTTGAAATCCGCTTCAGTTGTTATCTTCATCGACGACAGCAACAGTTGTGTCAGATCATCGCCGAACCGATCAAACGAGTCCCTCATTAGTCGTGTTGTTGTTGTTGTGGTCATCACTACTACTACCGCCGCCGACGACGCCGGTGTCGATGTTATGGCTATTAATTGGATATTATTTTTTAAAGACTGACTATAAATACAAAAATACTTTATTGTAATAACAATAACAACAACAATGTATTAGTAAAACATTTTTTTTTGTATAAATACAATAAATAACGTCAAAAACATTTCAATACCCTTTTCTATATATATATATATTTTTTTATATACAGTATAAGTTTATTGATGTATTAATTTAGATTTATATGTATTTTTTTGGGGGGGGATTTATTTTCGACGTTATTTATACAAACAATTGTAAATGTTTTAAATGTTGCAATAAATTAGAAATTTTATTATTATTAGTATTTTTTAATACACAATACAGTACTGTAAATAACATATGATTTGATAATAATAATAATAATAATAATAATTAAATAAAAATAAATTTAAATAATTTTTTTTTTGGATTTTTTAAAATAAATATTACTGTTATTAATGTATGTTTAATACTACTACTACTACTACTACTAATAATAATAATATATCAAGATGATTTTTTAAAAATAAATATTAGGGTATGATTTTTTATGATCATTTATACATTTATTTATATATGATATATATTTTTATATATAAAAAAACAAACAATAATTTTAGTTATAATTTATATTAAGATAATTTTATTTTACAATTTAATTTTTATTATTATAAAGTTTAAAAAACAATATTTGATAATATTATCGCTACAATATTTTTATTTTTTTAAAAAAAACAAACTATCATCATGGTCATATATTTTTATTATTATATAATACAGTTATAATTTTAAAAAAAATATTGTTTATATTTTTTATATTAGTTTTATTATGTATGAAAATGTTTATTTAAAGTTAATATAAAATATAAATAATATTTTTTTTTAAATTAGGGAAATATCCAATATCTATAATATTTTTTAACATTACTAACTTTATGTTAGTTTAAAAAAAACAAAAAAAAATGTTTATTATTTAAATATACTAATTTTTAAATGATTATAAACTATTTTTATAATAATAATAATTATTATTATTTGTTTAATTTTATAGTAATAGTATTATGTTATTATTAAAAAAATAAATCTAAAACATTTTTAACTTAAATTATGATATAAATAAATACTAGGGTTGAGGCAAAAGTTCCCCAATCTATCGCCCAATGAAATAGTTTAAACATATTAAATATGATCTGAGTTTTCCAGGAATATTGGAAGGAATTTATTTTATTTTTTTTGGGAACTTTACACTTCCCGAAAAGTTCCCGAACTCTAAAGTAAAATACTAAAAAAAAACAGTGGAAATATATATCAAAAATATATAGTAAAATAGTATATTACATAATACTGTATTAAAACTTAACTCATCAGTATTGAAAAAAACTGGGGAAAAAATTGGTGGGTGGGGGGGGGGTAACCCTCAAATTTATTACTTATAATTTTTATATAAAAAAAATATTTATATTGTTTTTAACTTTTTTAAAATTAATTTTTATTATTTTTTATTATAGTTTCTAAGTTTTCCGTATATAATAAAAAGTCGAAGATATCAGTGAAGAATAGGAAGAATAAGAAGACACTTCTGTCGCGACTGAAAGACAAATGGATTTGCCGTACGATCTCTTTGGCGATGAAATTACTGAACTCTGGATGTCATTGATATTATCAGTTAATATAAAGACGACTTCAACGACAATATCGAAGAAATACTCGTTTGATCGTTTCGGCGATGATTTGGCCGAACTATTGCTGTCATATCTGCCAATTGAAGACAAATGGAGACTACAATCGGTGTCCAAACAGTGGTCGTCATTGATATTCAATAGACAAACGGATCTTTTATTTAACGACAAACTATTGTCGACTATTGTTGGCTTAGAATCAGCTAATAATGATAACAACAGCAAAATAATTAAAAGCAAAAGTGTTAAGTTGTTTGCTGTGATCGTCCAAAAGTGTCCAAACATTCGGCAAGTAGTCATCATCGGTGATAAACAACTATTTGGCCAACTGGTCGACCAATTGGTTAAACACTGTCCGGGTTTGAAACATATTAGTCTGCAATCAGTTCACGATCATCGCCGACCAGACATCGATTGTTCATTGAATCGATTTTATACGGTTTTCGGTTCACAACTCAAGTCATTGAAGTTCAAAGTCGGCCGACAATTGCAGCCATCGATAGTCAATACTATCGTGACGTTGTGTTTACCTCAACTATGCTCACTGGACATCACCGACGAACACGACTTGCCGATTGATATTTGTGTTATTGTTGTCGGTAGCGGTGCTAATGTCCGCACTGGTGGTAGTAGTAATCTCTGTAAGCAATTACTACCGCCGAGTCTACAGTCGTTGTCGTTTCGCTTACTATACAATACTGAGACGCGTCCAATGTTTGCCACATTTGCCGCCATCGGTGGCAACCGATTGACGGCCATCGATATGGATCTAACACTGACCAGTGATCTGATGGACTCGTTTATCATTGCCGTGTCAACAAAATTTAAAGAATTACGTCGACTTCGGCTACGACTAGTGGTCGATAATTTAGAACAGTTTGTTGGCCAACTAATTGCCCACCAATTTGCCGATCGTTGTCGACAACTTAGCCGTCTGGCCATCCAATCGGCGTACAGTCAGATAACTATCCAGACGTTTGGCCAACTGATGGATCAGTTCGGCAAAAATCTTAAACATCTGAAACGTCTGTCTATCGGTTGTCGAGTATTGGCCGACAGTTCCGATACAACACAAGTACTGACAAGTGATTTACTAAAACATATGAAACAGTTGACACATTTATCACTAAATATTAGATTCAGTGTCTTCGGCGACCAGTTTTTCCGAGACATTTCACTCAATTTACCGCGACTTCGGTTTGTCGACATTGACTACGCAAACATTACCCGCGAGTCACTGCAATCACTGTCCCGATTGAAACACTTAAACGCCGTACGACTAGCCGATTGTCGTAACGATGCTATTGCTGACCACCAGATTATTATCGATGATCTAATTCAACCGCAACCGATGGTCACCAATGTTTACATATCGTTTATCAAGTGTAACTATAAATTTATCCGGGGCAATTTGTTTAATAATAATAATAATAATAACATTTAATTTTTGTTACTAAAGCTATACAATGATAATAATGAAACTAATTTCTAATTATAACTATTATTATTATTTAAAATATAAAAAAAACTTATTATTTACTCATATATATATATTAATTACTGATAAATCAATCAATGAATTATTAAACTCTTATATTCTATATAAATGCTATTAATATAACATAATATTATTGTAATTTATTGTTAATTACTTAATTAATTGATTAATTTTTTACACAAATATAATATTAACAATTACGGTAATCTTGAAAATTATGGTATTATTATTATTTAATATAAATATTAATAGAAAAATTTAGATTTTCTTATTGTTGTAATGAATTAATATTATTACTGTTGTTAATGTGACTATTAATTAATTAATTAAATTATATCAAAAATATGAATTATTTTTAGACATTTTGAATAATATTCATAAAATTTATTAAAATTTAAAAAAATGAAATCTTTTGTTTTTTTCTAATTAAATTAATTAAAAAAAATCTATAATTATAATAAATATTGTATACATAATAGTAGTAATAATAATTAAAGTCAGATTTTTTTTGTTAGAATTTTTTATTCACTAATTAATAAAAAAAATAAAATTGATTTTTATGTCTACTTTAGTATACATTTGATTTTTTTTAGACATATAAAAGTAATAATTTTAATACAAAATTTTATATAATTTTTGATTGAGTTGTTGCTGTTGTATCTGTATGTACAGTATACACATTGTACTGTATATCCACTTTATTTAGCCCCCTCTCTAACCTCTACGACACCTACCACCCCATCCGCCGCCACGTCCATGCCATCCGCCGCCGCCGCCGTGTCCATGCCATCCGCCGCTATATCCATGCCATCCACCATAGCCATAACCGACAGGTTGTATCACGCCAAGTGGTACTACTGGTGCTACTGGTGCTACTACTGGTGCTACTGGCACGTAACCAGCACCATAACTATTATGGCCTCCAGCACCCCAAGCAGCAGAACCTCCAGCACCCCAAGCAACTCCAGCACCTCCACCACCTCCAACAACTCCAGCACCTCCACCACCTCCAACAACTCCAGCACCTCCAACACCTCCAGCATTCCAAGCACCTGCATCTCCTGCACCCCAAGCACCTGGACCACCTCCACCTCCATAATTAACTTGATTGTTATTACCGCCTATATTGACAGCATTTTGATAGGGTTGGGGCAAACAGATAACTAATTTGATAGTTAGTATAGATATAATTAGACAACAACTACTAATTAGTAGAAATGTTTTCGCCATTTTGTTGATTGTTTGTTAACAAAAATAATAAAAAAAATAAATCAAACTTTATTGTCTAAACAATCTGTACAACTAAACTAACATTAACTAAAAATGACTGACACCTAATTAATAGTAATATGTAATAAATAAATTTCTAATTAATTAATTAATTAATTTAATGTTTTATATAATCTTATTTGCCGATATATAAAAAAATAAAATTAATATTTTTTTACATATACGATATAATTATTTTTTTTTATAAAAAAAATCCATATGTGTGGGCTATAACTAATAAATGGCGGCAATGGTACTAATTTTAATATATCAATATATATTGTCTATCATTACATAATTATTATATACATTTATATTATATATATATATCAGTAAATATATAAAGTTATATCTTATATAATTAAATTTAAGATGACTCTACACACACTTTAGATATATAACAAACCTAATGGACGGTTAAATTGATGGAACCGTAAAATATTGAATTTTTAAAAATAATTTTAAAAAAACTATTTATAAATAATCATTAATTAGGAATTTTATTACTAAACGTCATTATTTTAAAATCATTATTGATTATTAAGTTTTAATCAAATAAAAATTTTTTAGGGAACAATTATTATTAATTATTTAAAAAAAAAATTATTTCTTATATACAATATGTGATATATTACTGTAGCTAAATAACATTAATTACAATAATATTTATATGTATATATATATATTGTTATTGTTATTTTATTAATATTAAGCACTTAAAGTGTATATTATTATATTAAGTGTATTTATTTGTTATATTAAAACCAAAAAAAAATATTCTACTAAATAAATAAATTAATTAATTGAATTTAATCATAGTATACATTTATCTACAAATATTTATTAATAATATATATATATATTTATATATAATCTTATATAATTTTATATAATAATATTTTAAAGTATTGATAATATAAATTTTTTGAAGAAAAAAAAGTTATTATTGTTTTTATAATTTTTTGCTATATAACCATCTAGCCATGCCTACCCCAACGCTTACCACCCCATCCACTACCATAACTATAGCCACCACCATAACCGCCATGCCAATGTCCGCCATGCCAATATCCGGCATTTCCGCCAACCGCCACAGGTTGTGCAACTGGTACGTAACCAACAACACCAACAGTATGTCCAACAACACCAACAGTATGACCACCACCAGCAACACCATAACCACCACCACCACCAACAACACCATGACCACCATTAAGAGCATAGCTAGCACTATTACCATCACCAATAGAAGTAATAGGACCATTAACAGTTGCTGGAGCGCCACCACCAGATACTTGATTGTTATGACCGCCAATATTGACAGCATTTTGATCACCATAACCAAAAGCACCTCCACCATTTCCATGAGCACCAGGAGCACCAGGAGCACCCGGAGCTCCAGGAGCACCAGGAGCGCCAGGAGCGCCAGGAGCGCCAGGAGCGCCAGGAGCGCCATTACCACCACCACCAGATCCAAATCCAAATCCACCACCACCACCATTACCACCACCACCATTACCACCACCACCATTACCACCACCACCATTACCACCACCACCACCAGATCCAAATCCAAATCCAAATCCACCACCACCACCATTACCACCACCACTACCACCACCACTACCACCACCACCGCCACTACCACCACCTATATTAAGATTATTTTCGCTATTACCTTTGACATTATCAGCATCTTGATTGACTACACCTCCCGGCCCAAATCCGCCGCCATTTATATTGAGATTATTTTTGTTATTTCCGGCGATGTTTTTGGCACTTTGATTGATTGTTTGCGGCAAACAGACAATCAATTTTATAGTTAGTATAGATATTATTAAACAATAACTATTATATAATAGAAATTGTTTTCCCATAATTGAATTATTTTATTTTTTGAATTAATTAATTAATTCAAAGAAAAAAAATCTAAACTTAATAAACTCAACCACTTAACTAACTCCACACTAATGACTGACTATTACTAGTATTTTTTTTATAAAAAAAACAAATTTTTAATTAATTAATTTTTAATAAAAAATTTATTTGGTGCTATAAAGAAAACATTTAATCAATATATATATTTTTAATTATATGATATAGATATTTTTTATTAAATGTTTTTTTTATTATATAACATATAGATTTGCCAATAGAAAAGAGTATCATTTTTTTTAATAAAAAACACATATACAGTATATTAGAGAATGTATGTGTGTGTATATGTGTGTGTGTATGTGTGTGTGTGTATGTGTGTGTGTATGTGTGTGTGTGTATGTGTGTGTATGTGTGTGTATGTGTGTGTATGTGTGTGTATGTGTGTGTGTATGTGTGTGTTTATATGTGTGTATGTGTGTGTGTGTGTGTGTGTGTATGTGTATGTATGTGTATTTATATATGTATATAGCATTATTTTATAATACTGTTTGACTAATGCAATGGTTTTTTGACAGCACATGAATGCATTAGTTGACACATTGCAGGTATGGATCAAATTATATTTGATATTAATATATTGATCTAATTTATAAAAAAATTATTGTAAATAAAAAATAAATAAATATCTAAATTTTAATAAAAATAATTTATATATATATATATTATTTTGTGCACCTATTAGACTAACATCTCTCTCTCTCTCTCTCTCTCTCTCTCTCTCTCTCTCTCATCAATTATTTGCCAATCCTTTCCTATAGACATCCGGTATAATACGGTTATCCATATATTGGTTGAACGCATATTGAATTTCATAGTTATTTACGTCAATCATACCGTATGTTTGACGGTTTAAAATATATTATATTCCCGTATATATACAGTATATATCGTCCACACATAAAAAACCGGCAAATGTATGTGATGACGTTGGAAAATACAATATATTGGATAACTTATGGCCCATAAGTTATGGGGGCAACCAACACAACCATTTATTTAAAAAAAAAAAAAAAAAAAACATTGACCGCCAATTATTTGCTAAAAATTTTGAATATTATACAGTGTCTTAAACAACGATGATAGCGGCGATACTATTAAAGTACAATTATCTGGTATTAAACAATACGTTTTATTAAAAATTGACCAAGGTGGTAATGTTAGGTTTTTAAATAAAATAAAATTCTACTTGGTCATTTTTAAAAAAAAATTAATTAGTATGATTTGCCATATAATTGCTGTCGATTATCATTTATTATATTTTTAAAACTAAGTCTACTGTAAATTATCTAGCATATAATACCAATTAGTTAATTAAAAAAAAATATCTATAACATTGCCACTTGGTCACTTTTTAATTCAACCTATTGTTGACCAGATAATTGTACTTTAATAGTATCGCCGCTAACATCGCCGCCGCTGTTTAAGATTATCTCAATAGTATAGAAAAATTATTTAAATCTTTATTATTATTATTTTAGTATTAAACAAATTATATAAAAAACTATAGAAATTCAATTAAAAAATTCAATAAATCCATGGCTGGACTATACAGTATTAAATACTATTGTATTTAATATACAATAAACAAATAAACAAATATTTTGTTTTACATATATATCGGTTTAATTATTTAATTTAATAAAATAAAATTTTCATTAATTTTGTACATGATAATTTTTGAAAAATAAAAAAAAATAAAAAATTTATATTTTTGTTTTACTAATTAATTAATTTTAAATATTAGATAAATATATCTAAATATTATTATTATTATTATTATTATTGCTATTATTATTATTATTATTGCTATTATTATTATTATTATTAGAAAATTGAAAACAAATTTATCAGCCAATGTTGACCACTTGATTGTTATCACCGGCGACATTGTTTGCTTCTTGATTAACATTCAATCCAAGATTACCAACACTTACGCCACCACTTCCATGACTTCCACCGGTACTTCCACTACTACTCTCACTACTACTACCACTACCACTACCGCCACCAAATCCTCTATCACCTACAAAACCATATTCAACTCTACTTCCGCCACCACCTAATCTACTACTACTTCCACCACTTCCGCCTTTTCCGCCACTAACACCACTACTTACACTACTACTTCCACTACCATCAACTCTGCCACCAAATACAATATTAGTTCCGACACCATATTCACCACTACTTCTGCTACCACCAAATTCATTACTACTACTACTACTACTTTCACCGCCTACTCCGCCAACTCCGCCAGTGTTTCCATTAAAAATTACTTTTTGATCGACAGCACCTCCATTATGGCTAGCAATTTGATTAATTCCAGATATGCCACCACTTCCACGTCCATCACCACCACCACGACCACCATTACCAACTGTTATATGCCAATTACTAGCTGAACCACTACCTGCACCACCGCCAGAAACACCAGTACCGCCATCAGCACCACCACCACTACCACCAATTGAACCAGGTTTATTAACGACCAAAGTTGATGAACTACCGGGATGAACATCTTCGGCATCATCACCATTACTACCTAAAATATTTGAACCACCTGATGATTCAGGATTATTTGGTAGTCTTCCGGCGCCAGCACCATGTTCTATAACTGTCCATTCATGAGCAACTGGATGAATAGACTCATATCTTCTCACAATACGGCCTGTATAGCGACCGGAAGGAGAAAAAACGGCTAAATTTATTAGTATAATAAAAAGAAAATAAAATAAATTACCATTACTATGACTTCCAGCACCACCAGCACCACCACCATTAGCTCCACCATCGGCTTCATTACCAGATCCACCACTTCTGTGGGCAACTTCTATGTTTACTCGTCCATTTGAGCCGCCTGTATTTAAATTACCACTTCCAGCACTCCAACCACTACCACTTCCACCATTTCCAGTACTTCCACCAGTCAAACCACCACCACTTCCACCATTTCCAGTACTTCCAGCAGTCCAGCCACTATCACTTCCACCATTTCCAGTACTTCCAACACTCCAACCACTACCACTTCCACCATTTCCAGTACTTCCAGCACTCCAACTTCCACGACTTCCACCACTCCAACCACTTCCACCACCATTTACATTGACGTTTTGGCGGTTATTTCCGGCGATATTTTTGGCATTTTGATTGATGTTAAAACCTCCACCAATACCAACACCCCAACCACCAACTCCACCACCATTTACATTGACGTTTTGGCGGTTATTTCCGGCAATATTTTTGGCATTTTGATTGATGTTAAAACCTCCACCAACACCAACACCCCAACCACCAGCACCACCTCCACCACCATTTACATTGACGTTTTGGTGATTATTTCCGGCGATATTATTGGCATTTTGATTGACTTGAAAACAGACAATCAATTTGATAGTCAGTAGAGATAAGATTAAACAATAACTATTAATTAATAAAAATTTTGCCATTTTTTATTCAATTATTAATAGTATTCTCTAGTGTTTTATAAATTAAATAAATTAATTTTATATAAAATTAATTTTTCACTTTAAAATAAATCCTAATTTTTTTTTTAAAAATCAATATGTTTTTTTTAATAAATACAATTTAATTAATAGACAACTAAACTAAACTAGTTTTTTTAATAAATAATAACTGATTGACAAATAGTTAGTGATATTTAGGGTTAGAAATGAAAAATTCTATCATTTTATAAAAATTTCCATTAAAATCTAATTTGATTTTTGTATCGAACGCTAACTAATTTTATTATAGAATTTAATATACAGTATATACTGTATATAATATCAAATTATATTTTGAATAATATTTTCATATAAATTACTGATAGTATAACTAAATTTATAAAATAATTATAATATATACAGTATTTTTCTTGAAATCTATAGGAAATTTATTAGTAAACTTTCCTCCATTGAAAAGTCTATATTGAAATATTTGGGAATAAATATTAAATAGAAATTATTCTATACGTAATTAATAAACATATTTGATGTTTTATTTTTTGGTGCTTTTTTAACACGTAGACACTTTTAAAAAAGTATTAATTAATTAATTAATTAATTATTAATAGTTATTATATTCTATAATATTTAATTTAGGTTTGGATTAAATTATACTTTCATTGTATTATATTTTTTTTAAAAATCTATTATATTTAATGAATAATTATAATATATATAAACAATTTCTATAGTAAAAAAATTACTTAAAAACTAAAATTATTGACTAAATTATATTTAACTTTTCAGTAGCAATATTGAAGAAAAAAATAATTCAATAATAGTTTATTTTAAGAAAATATAATTACATAAAAAAAGTTTTAATACAATTAACTACAACAAAATTTATTATTAAAGTAATACTACACTATAAGTTTTACAGTTATAAACTATTGTAATTATACAGTATATTATATATAAAAGTAAATATTTGAAAAATACAACAAAAAATAATAGAAAAACAATTAGTTTTTATTGTATATAATAATTAAAAAAAAGTACTTTATTTATCACAATTTATTACTAATTATTAAGCTTAGTAAAAAAAGGGGCAAACAATGTATTAAATTAATATTACCAAATATGCAGTTAACAGGTTTTTATTTTATAAATTAAAAATAATGAAATGAAATTTTACACAAATTTCAAAAATAGTTTCATTTTTAGCGGAATCAATAGTTAAACTAAATATAGGATTGTATTCACAAATATACTGTTTTAACTTAATCGATACTTTATCAGTTTTTGACATTTTATTTATTTTTATTAAATTTATCAAAAATATAGTTTTATCAATAAATTAGTCAACAAAAAAAAAATAAATCATGTTAACTGCAATTCTAAAATTATTATTAATTATGCATCTCGTGATAGTTTATATTATTATAATAAATCGCGCGTAGCATTAGTGCCCCTTTTTTTTACTAAGCTTACTAATTATTTATGAATACCAATTGCAAACACACCCATACACCCATACACCCATACACCCATACACCCATACACCCATACACCCATACACCCATACACCCATACACCCATACACCCATACACCCATACACCCATACACCCATACACCCATACACCCATACACCCATACACCCATACACCCATACACCCATACACCCATACACCCATACACCCATACACCCATACACCCATACACCCATACACCCATACACCCATACCAATATAAAATTACCTTAATATAAAATTTTAAATATTGTATATAATTATATTTATACTTCTAATAACAACAAAAACATTATTAATATTTTTATATTTTTATTTAATAAATAAATTTAATTTACATAATGTGTTTGTTTTATTTCAAATTTATCATTTTATATTATTGAATTAAAAAACCATAAAAAAATATAGTTAAATTTGTGTTTTTGTTTTTACAATTAAATGTTTTTTTAACAACAATAATAATAATAACAACAACAACAACAAAATTTTAAACAAATAATATCTTTATAAATATATATTTATCTGTCTATTTAAATATATTTGAATCTATTTGAATCTATTTACCTTGGTTATTACCAAATATTAAACTATCACCATTATTATCCATATTACCAAATTGTTGATATTGACTAAAATCATCGAATGACCATGGTTGAAATTGAAAAAATCGTCCAAACAGATTATTATTATTATTATTATTATTGTTACCATTTGAGCTTTTATCTTGAACACTACTATCCCAACCAGTTAATGACCATGGTACATAATTGAAGAAAATACCGCCAGGTCGAATGTTTTTATTGTTGTCTGGTTTCCAATTGAAATTATTGATACTTGGTGAGGGTAGGTAATGGAAAAAACCGGAAACTATTGGTCTATGTTTAATCGTGTTGCTGTTTGATGATTGGCCATTATTATTATTACTACCCGATTGGCCAGAACCATTGGTGACACCAATATTATTACTACTACTACTATTACTACTACTACTAGGCTGTTGATTGATCCATCTAATACCATATATAGGTTCGATACCATTAACACCAGACGTTCCATTAGATGGTTGTCTATTAGATGGCTGACCATTTGGCTGTTGACCAAAATGTTGTTGTTGTTGTATTTGTTGACCAGTAATCTGTTGATCCTTAGGTATTTTAATGCCATATATAGGATCTAATGGGAGATTTCCAGGGTTTTTATTATGCTGTTGACCATTAGACGGTTGTCCACCAGGCGTTTTTATGACATAAATAGGGTCTAAAGCGGGACTTCCAGGTTTACTATTAGTTTGTTGACCACTGGATTGCTGTCCATTGGGTTGTTGTCCATTGGGTTGACCACTGGGTTGTTGTCCATTAGATTGATTACCGTTAGGCTGTTGATCAATAGGTATTCTAATGCTATAAATAGGATCTAAAACGACATTTCCAGTGTTTCTATTAGGCAATTGTCCACTGGGTTGCTGTCCACTGGGTTGCTGTCCACTGGGTTGTTGTCCACTGGGTTGTTGTCCAATGGGTTGTTGTCCGATGGGTTGTTGTCCACTGGGTTGTTGTCCACTGGGTTGTTGTCCACTGGGTTGTTGTCCATTGGGTCGACCACTGGGATGTTGTCCATTAGATTGATTACCGTTAGGCTGTTGATCAATAGGTATTCTAATGCTATAAATAGGATCTAAAACGACATTTCCAGTGTTTCTATTAGGCAATTGTCCACTGAGTTGTTGTCCAATGGGTTGTTGTCCACTGGTTTGTTGTCCACTGGGTTGTTGTCCACTGGGTTGTTGTCCACTGGGTTGTTGTCCACTGGGTTGTTGTCCACTGGGTTGTTGTCCACTGGGTTGTTGTCCATTGGGTCGACCACTGGGATGTTGTCCATTAGATTGATTACCGTTAGGCTGTTGATCAATAGGTATTCTAATGCTATAAATAGGATCTAAAACGACATTTCCAGTGTTTCTATTAGGCAATTGTCCACTGGGTTGCTGTCCACTGGGTTGCTGTCCACTGGGTTGTTGTCCACTGGGTTGTTGTCCGATGGGTTGTTGTCCACTGGGTTGTTGTCCACTGGGTTGTTGTCCACTGGGTTGTTGTCCATTGGGTCGACCACTGGGATGTTGTCCATTAGATTGATTACCGTTAGGCTGTTGATCAATAGGTATTCTAATGCTATAAATAGGATCTAAAACGACATTTCCAGTGTTTCTATTAGGCAATTGTCCACTGGGTTGTTGTCCAATGGGTTGTTGTCCACTGGTTTGTTGTCCACTGGGTTGTTGTCCACTGGGTTGTTGTCCACTGGGTTGTTGTCCACTGGGTTGTTGTCCACTGGGTTGTTGTCCACTGGGTTGTTGTCCACTGGGTTGTTGTCCACTGGGTTGTTGTCCATTGGGTCGACCACTGGGATGTTGTCCATTAGATTGATTACCGTTAGGCTGTTGATCAATAGGTATTCTAATGCTATAAATAGGATCTAAAACGACATTTCCAGTGTTTCTATTAGGCAATTGTCCACTGGGTTGCTGTCCACTGGGTTGCTGTCCACTGGGTTGTTGTCCACTGGGTTGTTGTCCAATGGGTTGTTGTCCACTGGGTTGTTGTCCACTGGGTTGTTGTCCACTGGGTTGTTGTCCACTGGGTTGTTGTCCATTGGGTCGACCACTGGGATGTTGTCCATTAGATTGATTACCGTTAGGCTGTTGATCAATAGGTATTCTAATGCTATAAATAGGATCTAAAACGACATTTCCAGTGTTTCTATTAGGCAATTGTCCACTGGGTTGTTGTCCAATGGGTTGTTGTCCACTGGTTTGTTGTCCACTGGGTTGTTGTCCACTGGGTTGTTGTCCACTGGGTTGTTGTCCACTGGGTTGTTGTCCACTGGGTTGTTGTCCACTGGGTTGTTGTCCACTGGGTTGTTGTCCACTGGGTTGTTGTCCAATGGGTTGTTGTCCACTGGGTTGTTGTCCAATGGGTTGTTGTCCAATGGGTTGTCCACTGGGTTGCTGTCCACTGGGTTGTTGTCCAATGGGTTGTTGTCCACTGGGTTGTTGTCCACTGGGTTGTTGTCCAATGGGTTGTCCACTGGGTTGTTGTCCACTGGGTTGTTGTCCACTGGGTTGTTGTCCACTGGGTTGTTGTCCACTGGGTTGTTGTCCAATGGGTTGTTGTCCAATGGGTTGTCCACTGGGTTGCTGTCCACTGGGTTGTTGTCCAATGGGTTGTTGTCCACTGGGTTGTTGTCCACTGGGTTGTTGTCCAATGGGTTGTCCACTGGGTTGTTGTCCACTGGGTTGTTGTCCACTGGGTTGTTGTCCACTGGGTTGTTGTCCACTGGGTTGTTGTCCATTAGATTGATTATTGTTAGGCTGTTGATCATTAGGAATTCTAATGCTATAAATAGGATCTAAAACGACATTTCCAGTGTTTCTAGTAGGCAATTGTCCACTGGGTTGCTGTCCACTGGGTTGCTGTCCACTGGGTTGTTGTCCATTGGGTTGTTGTCCACTGGGTTGTTGTCCACTGGGTTGCTGTCCATTGGGTTGATCACTGGGTTGTCCACTGGGTTGCTGTCCACTGGGTTGCTGTCCACTGGGTTGCTGTCCACTGGGTTGTTGTCCATTGGGTTGTTGTCCACTGGGTTGTTGTCCACTGGGTTGCTGTCCATTGGGTTGACCACTGGGTTGTCCACTGGGTTGCTGTCCACTGGGTTGCTGTCCACTGGGTTGTTGTCCACTGGGTTGCTGTCCACTGGGTTGCTGTCCATTGGGTTGACCACTGGGTTGTCCACTGGGTTGCTGTCCACTGGGTTGCTGTCCACTGGGTTGCTGTCTACTGGGTTGTTGTCCATTGGGTTGTTGTCCACTGGGTTGTTGTCCACTGGGTTGTTGTCCACTGGGTTGCTGTCCATTGGGTTGACCACTGGGTTGTCCACTGGGTTGTTGTCCACTGGGTTGCTGTCCACTGGGTTGCTGTCCACTGGGTTGCTGTACACTGGGTTGTTGTCCATTGGGTTGTTGTCCACTGGGTTGTTGTCCACTGGGTTGTTGTCCACTGGGTTGCTGTTCACTGGGTTGTTGTCCACTGGGTTGTTGTCCACTGGGTTGCTGTCCACTGGGTTGTTGTCCACTGGGTTGTTGTCCACTGGGTTGCTGTCCACTGGGTTGTTGTCCATTGGGTTGACCACTGGGTTGTTGTCCACTGGGTTTCTGTCCACTGGGAAGTTGTCCACTGGGTTGCTGTCCACTGGGTTGTTGTCCACTGGGAAGTTGTCCACTGGGTTGCTGTCCACTGGGTTGTTGTCCACTGGGTTGCTGTACACTGGGTTGTTGTCCATTGGGTTGTTGTCCACTGGGTTGTTGTCCACTGGGTTGTTGTCCACTGGGTTGCTGTCCACTGGGTTGCTGTCCACTGGGTTGCTGTACACTGGGTTGTTGTCCATTGGGTTGTTGTCCACTGGGTTGTTGTCCACTGGGTTGTTGTCCACTGGGTTGCTGTCCACTGGGTTGTTGTCCACTGGGTTGTTGTCCACTGGGTTGCTGTCCACTGGGTTGTTGTCCATTGGGTTGACCACTGGGTTGTTGTCCACTGGGTTTCTGTCCACTGGGTTGTTGTCCACTATGATGCTGTCCACTGGGTTGTTGACCACTGGGAAGTTGTCCAATGGGTTGTTGTCCACTGGGTTGACCACTGGGTTGTTGTCCATTAGATTGATTACCGTTAGGCTGTTGATCATTAGGTATTCTAATGCTATAAATAGGATCTAAAACGACATTTCCAGGTTGACGAGATTTACCATCGGGACCATATAAGGTTGGTGTAATTTGAGGTTGATTACTAGGTTGACGAAATATTATTTTACCATCAGGACCATATAAAGGTGGTTGATTTTGAGTTTGATTACTTGGCTGCTCAGGTAACGGTTTACCATCAGGACCATATAAAGGTGGTTGATTTTGAGGTTGATTACTTGGTTGCTGAGGTAACGGTTTACCATCGGGACCATATAAAGTGGGTGGAATTTGAGGTTGATTACTTGGTTTCTGAGGTAACGGTTTACCATCAGGACCATATGTTATTTGAAATTGAGGTTGATTACTTGGTTGCTGAGGTAACGGTTTACCATCGGGACCATATAAAGTGTGTGGAATTTGAGGTAGATTACTTGGTTTCTGAGGTAACGGTTTTCCATCAGGACCATATGTTATTTGAAATTGAGGTTGATTACTTGGTTGCTGAGGTAATGGTTTACCATCAGGACCATATATTATTTGAAATTGAGGTTGATTACTTGGTTGCTGAGGTAATGGTTTACCATCAGGACCATATATTATTTGAATTTGAGGTTGATTACTTGGTTGCTGAGGTAACGGTTTACCATCAGGACCATATATTATTTGAAATTTAGGTTGATTACTTGGTTGCTGAGGTAATGGTTTACCATCAGGACCATATAAAGTGGATGGAATTTGAGGTTGATTACTTGGTTGCTGAGGTAATGGTTTACCATCAGGACCATATATTATTTGAAATTGAGGTTGATTACTTGGTTGCTGAGGTAATGGTTTACCATCAGGACCATATAAAGTGGATGGAATTTGAGGTTGATTACTTGGTTGCTGAGGTAATGGTTTACCATCAGGACCATATATTATTTGAATTTGAGGTTGATTACTTGGTTGCTGAGGTAACGGTTTACCATCAGGACCATATATTATTTGAAATTTAGGTTGATTACTTGGTTGCTGAGGTAATGGTTTACCATCAGGACCATATAAAGTGGATGGAATTTGAGGTTGATTACTTGGTTGCTGAGGTAATGGTTTACCATCAGGACCATATATTATTTGAAATTGAGGTTGATTACTTGGTTGCTGAGGTAATGGTTTACCATCAGGACCATATAAAGTGGATGGAATTTGAGGTTGATTACTTGGTTGCTGAGGTAACGGTTTACCATCAGGACCATATAAAGTGGATGGAATTTGAGGTTGATTACTTGGTTGCTGAGGTAATGGTTTACCATCAGGACCATATATTATTTGAAATTGAGGTTGATTACTTGGTTGCTGAGGTAATGGTTTACCATCAGGACCATATAAAGTGGATGGAATTTGAGGTTGATTACTTGGTTGCTGAGGTAATGGTTTACCATCAGGACCATATATTATTTGAATTTGAGGTTGATTACTTGGTTGCTGAGGTAACGGTTTACCATCAGGACCATATATTATTTGAAATTTAGGTTGATTACTTGGTTGCTGAGGTAATGGTTTACCATCAGGACCATATAAAGTGGATGGAATTTGAGGTTGATTACTTGGTTGCTGAGGTAATGGTTTACCATCAGGACCATATAAAGTGGATGGAATTTGAGGTTGATTACTTGGTTGCTGAGGTAATGATTTACCATCAGGACCATATAAAGTGGATGGAATTTGAGGTTGATTACTTGGTTGCTGAGGTAATGGTTTACCATCAGGACCATATATTATTTTAAATTGAGGTTGATTACTTGGTTGCTGAGGTAACGGTTTACCATCATGACCAATTAAAATCTGTTGAATTTGAGGTTGATTGGTTGGTTGCTGAGGTAATGGTTTACCATCAGGACCATATTGTTTAAGACAATCTGGTTGTCCAGGCAGACATTCCTTCGAATCGGGTCTCTGACTATTTGGCGTTTCAGTTGTTCCTAATTGACAATTTGGTTGACCCGGCGGACAATGTGATGAATCGGTTGACAGACTATTTGGTGTAACAGTTGTATCCGATTGACAATTTGGATTTCCCGGCGGACAATTCCTTTGTTGGATTCTTTTCGGTTTTGCTGTTGTTGACGTTTTTTGGCCATTCTGACAATCGGGTTGTCCGGGCGGACATTGCGATGAAACGGTTGACAGACTGTTTGGTGTAACAGTAGTACCCAATTGACAATTTGGTTGTCCCGGTGGACAATGCGGTGAATCAGTTGGCGGACTATTTGGTGCAACAGTAGTACCCAATTGACAATTTGGTTGTCCCGGTGGACAATGCGGTGAATCAGTTGGCGGACTATTTGGTGCAACAGTAGTACCCAATTGACAATTTGGTTGTCCCGGTGGACAATGCGGTGAATCAGTTGGCGGACTATTTGGTGCAACAGTAGTACCCAATTGACAATTTGGTTGTCCCGGTGGACAATGCGGTGAATCAGTTGGCGGACTATTTGGTGCAACAGTACTAACCAATTGACAATTTGGTTGTCCCGGTGGACAATGCGGTGAATCAGTTGGCGGACTATTTGGTGCAACAGTACTAACCAATTGACAATTTGGTTGTCCCGGTGGACAATGCGGTGAATCAGTTGGTGGACTATTTGGTGTAACAGTTGTATCCGATTGACAATTTGGATTTCCCGGCGGACAATTCCTTTGTTGGTATCTTTTCGGCTTTGCTGTTGTTGACGTTTTTTGGCCATTATGACAATCGGGTTGTCCGGGGGGACATTGCGACGAATCGGTTGATTGACTATTTGGTGTAACAGTAGTACCTAATTGACAATTTGGTTGTCCCGGTGGACAATGCGGTGAATCGGTTGCCGGACTATTTGGTACAACAGTTGACAGATCCGATTGACAATTTGGATTACCCGGCGGACAATTACTTTTTTGGATTCGTTTCGGTTTTACTGTCGTAGTAGATGTTGTAGAGTTTGAATTATTTTTTATCGGTACCGGTTCGCAGAAAACAGGTATATCGTCGCCATTTTCTAGTATTTTTTTAAATAAATATAATAATTAATTTTTTATAGAAATAAGTTCTTCCTAATAAATTAAAATCAAATATGTTTTTATTTTTTTATCATTATTATTTATTTTAAATAAGTTTTTATTCAAACTGTTTGAAATTATATGAGGTTGGGTTGGGTTTAGTGGGGTTTAGTTAGTTTAATTGGGTTTAATTGGGTTTAATTGGGTTTAATTGGGTTTAATTGGGTTTAATTGGGTTTAATTGGGTTTAATTGGGTTTAATTGGGTTTAATTGGGTTTAATTGGGTTTAATTGGGTTTAATTGGGTTTAATTGGGTTTATTTGGGTTTAAATGTTGAATGTGTATTAAAGGACATATATATTAGATAACATATAGTAATATTATATATATATATTATTTAAAAGTAGATAATTAATTTTAAAATTATATTAAATCCATATAATTGTTTCGGTTAGTTAATTCAATATAATAGTAGGTTAGTTTGATGGGGGGGGGGTTGATGAGGGTAGGGTTATATTACATTTACATATATATATAAATGCTACCTGTGCTGTTTCCAGATTGTAGTACACCATTAACATAAACTGTTTTGATAATAGTACCATTTGGTGAGATAGATGTTTGAATTTTTTGGACATCACCCCGGGCATTTATGTTTGTAACTTCAGTACCATTTTTATCAGTACTACTGCTTATCAATGATACTGTTTTCAGCAACCAATCAATCAGTCAAGAGATAGATAGTGTCCATCCATACAAAAATAAATGCACAGTAAGTCAGTGAAGGAACGACATGTTTTCAAACATATTATTATAGATAATTATTTAGTATATAGTATTTATAGTAAATGGACAGTTAGTAAAATTATTAATTTATTTTGTATATTTAAAAAAAATTAATGTATAATTATAATACAATTCGGTTAGCTTGAGTTGGGTAGGGTAGATGGTATTGGTGGGGGTGGGGGTTCTCAGTAATTAACTATTTTTTTCTTAACTATTAAACTAACCTCAACTAACTTAAGCTTCAAAACATAACTCAAAATTTAATTATAAAATAATATTTTTTGTTTTTTTTAAATCAAATTATCAATTATCAACTAAGCCATACTTTCAACATATTTTATATATATATATATATTATATATTCTCTAAACCTAACCTAACTTTCCTAACTGTCTAGACTACTAACTAAAAAAATGGCTGTCATAGTAATTGGTTATTTGGCAATATTTTTTTGTTGGTATTATTATTATTATTATTAGGATTAAGATTTACTTTATCTTACCTGGTTTATGATTATCTGCTTGACAACATTCAATAATCAGATAGATTAAGGTTACATAGATGATTTTATGATTACTATTAAAATTGTTTAATTTTTTCATTTTTTTTAATTAAAATTAATTTTAATTTCTAACCAAAAAAAAATTAACTCTATTATAAAATGGTGTCTCACTAACTGTACTTTACACTACTGACACCTAAAATTAAATAAATTACTATTAAATAAAAAAAACTAAGAATCTATTGGGTTATTAAAAAAATATATATTCCCATATGTTTTGTTCAAAAAAAAAATGATTTTTTTATGAAATTTTAATTTAATTTTTCCATTGATGTCAATCTAATAATGATTTTCTATTTGTTAGCTTTTTTTAATTAGTTATTATTAGCGTAATATATTTGCAATTTGTTTTTTGTTGCTATATTAATTAAATTTGCTAATAAAATATTTCATAAAGTATTAGATTTAAAAAAAAAACTATTAAATTATTAAATGATTTTTCGTTGTTGTATTGTATATTTAATGTATTTTTTTATAAAAATAATTTATTATTTATTTATCTCATTATTTTTAAAATTATTATTATTTATAAATTTATTACTGTATAGTATATATACAGTGTACAGTATATATTAATATATAAATTTTCTTAATTATTTTATATCTGAATTTTTTTTAACACAAACAAAAATATGTTTTAAATACTACAGTATATAAAAAATGTTAAAATTATTTAATAGTCTGATACTTAATTTTTCTTGAATTTATTAATTAAAAATACAAACATTAGTTTTCTCTATTTAATGTAATTTTCTAGAAAGTTCATAACAATTGTTATTAATATCAATAGTTATATTATTATTATTATTTCAGTCATATTATATTAATATATAAGATATATATATTTTTGTTTAGTCATGTTTGATAATATATAAATAATATTATATGATATTATATAATCGTATATTATATAATATTTACTATAATATTGATTGTATCGATTGCAATATAAAGTGCAATGATTATAACAAATATATATATATTTATTTATTAAATAAAATATTAGATAAAATAAAAAATATTAGATAATATATATTTAGTTTATTAATAAATTATATTTAGTTATAATTATTTTTTTATTATTATTATTTGATAAATAATCCAGTTATCTTAAAATAAGTTATCTATTTTTTATAGCTAATAATTAATTAGAAAAAACCAATACAAGTGTAACAATTATTGTGTATTAAATGTGATCATTATATCGGTATTAATAATAATAATAACCTTAAATAAATTGCAAAATAAATATAATAAAAGTTAACTAAACTGTATTATAATTAGTATTATTTAAAGCAACATAAAAAATGTTATAATTTATTATTATTATAATCCAAGGTTATCAAATAAATAAAACCTAAATGTACTAGTACTTATTAAATATAACTTAATTAATTTATTATAATGACACAGCATAATTTAATTATGTATAAAAATAGCAGCAATTTTTTAAATTTAAATCAAAACAAATAAATAAATTTAAAAAATTTGTTTTTAAAATCAAAATAAAATTATTATTATTTTTGGAGAAAAAAATGTCTTTTATTACAAACTTTGTTAACTCATATATTATAGTCAACTATTGGACATCAGTATTGACACTACTAATTGGTTTTCTAGTCTATAAAATTGCTAAATTTTATTTACTTGTATTTCAATTACCACCCGGGCCATTGCCTATACCTATATTTGGTAATCTATTAGGTAAGTCATATAACAACAATCAAACAAATAAATAAAAATACAATATATTATTTTGCTATAGGTGCTAATATAATTGATGATAGTTTGTGTGTATGTGTATGTGTATGTGTATGTGTATGTGTATGTGTATGTGTATGTGTATGTGTATGTGTATGTGTATGTGTATGTGTATGTGTATGTGTATGTGTATGTGTATGTGTATGTGTATGTGTATGTGTATGTGTATGTGTATGTGTATGTGTATGTGTATGTGTATGTGTATGTGTATGTGTATGTGTATGTGTATGTGTATGTGTATGTGTATGTGTATGTGTATGTGTATGTGTATGTGTATGTGTATGTGTATGTGTATGTGTATGTGTATGTGTATGTGTATGTGTATGTGTATGTGTATGTGTATGTGTATGTGTATGTGTATGTGTATGTGTATGTGTATGTGTATGTGTATGTGTATGTGTATGTGTATGTGTATGTGTATGTGTATGTGTATGTGTATGTGTATGTGTATGTGTATGTGTATGTGTATGTGTATGTGTATGTGTATGTGTATGTGTATGTGTATGTGTATGTGTATGTGTATGTGTATGTGTATGTGTATGTGTATGTGTATGTGTATGTGTATGTGTATGTGTATGTGTATGTGTATGTGTATGTGTATGTGTATGTGTATGTGTATGTGTATGTGTATGTGTATGTGTATGTATATATGTGTATGTTTGTGTATGTGTATGTGTATGTGTATGTGTATGTGTATGTGTATGTGTATGTGTATGTGTATGTGTATGTGTATGTGTATGTGTATGTGTATGTGTATGTGTATGTGTATGTGTATGTGTATGTGTATGTGTATGTGTATGTGTATGTGTATGTGTATGTGTATGTGTATGTGTATGTGTATGTGTATGTGTATGTGTATGTGTATGTGTATGTGTATGTGTATGTGTATGTGTATGTGTATGTGTATGTGTATGTGTATGTGTATGTGTATGTGTATGTGTATGTGTATGTGTATGTGTATGTGTATGTGTATGTGTATGTGTATGTGTCTATGTGTGATATTTATTTTTTTTAAAACATTTATTTATTTTTTATTTATTTGAAATAGCATTGCGCGGCACTAAACATCATTTTGCATACGAGTTGCGAAAATACAGCCAAAAATACGGCGATGTCTTTACATTTTGGTTGGGAAACCAGCCGTTTATCTATATAATGGACATAGAAGTGGCCAGAAATACGTTCCGCAAAAACGAGTTTACCGATCGACCTGAAATGCTTTTTGGTATAGTTCCTACATTTTCCTCCACCCTTCCCTCAACCCGACCCGACCCACACACACACACACACACACACACACACACACACATGAAAAATACCATTTTTTCTCAAAAAAAACTTAAATATTTTTTGTTTTGTTTTTCATTATTATCAGTAAAAAATTTAGCCGAAAATCATTTATCAGACGTCGTGTTTGATAGTTATGGTCAGCGATGGGAAGCACTGAGACGTGTAACACATGCGGCTGTTTTGTAGGCATTTATTTTATTTGTATAGTTTTTTTTAATAAAAATTAAAACTATTTTATTAACTGTTATTTACTAAACTGTTATTTTAATTAACTAAAACAGAAACTATGCCAAAACGGATAAGCTGATCTACCTGGCCAGCGATTGTGTGGAAAATACAATCAAATTGATACTCGATAGGGAAGGCACGGGTAAACCGTTTAATCCCTATCCATATGTCTATCATTTGTTCAGTAATATACTGGCTAACAGTGCTTTCGGTCGCGGCTACGATAGCATCGACGACAAAGAGTATGTAGACTTTAAGTCGTCAACAAAAGATCAGTCGGAGAAGCGTGGGTTCAGGAATATGTTGTGGCAAATGTCTGGTCTGTTTCGTTGGCTGGACAGTCGTAAATATCGACAAGTTTTCGACAAAACAATGGGTACTATCGATACAATACGCCAGAAATTTCTCAGTCATTACGATGGCTACGTTACGGGTGTTTGTCGTGATTTTTGCGATGCATTGATCAGCGCTAAGATTGATGCGCTCAGGGATCGCAAAGAGTCGGCCCGGTATTTGACTGATAATAACCTATCGATGGTTATTTGGGATTGGTTTTTGGCCGGAACTGATACCTCGCAAACAACATTCCAGTGGATCCTGTTATTGATAGCCAACTATCCCCGAGTACAGCAACGATTGAGAGATGAAATCTGGGAGACAATAGGCGATCGTATAGCCATTCACGATGACAGACACCGGTGTCACTATACGTTGGCTGTCATTGCGGAAACATTGCGTTTCCGTAATCCGGTACCAATGGGTCTGTTTCATGCAACCGGATCGGCCGTACAGTTGTTTGGCAACAGCGGCAGCAGCTATTGGTTGCCCGAAAAACAGAGACTATTTGTATGTCAGTGGCATATCATGAATAGCGACAAGTATTGGCAAAATGCCGACCATTTTCTACCGGAACGCTTCCTCGATAATGACGGCCACTATACTACTACTACTACTACTACTACCAGTACTACCACCCGATCCAAAGCCTATATACCATTTGGTGTGGGACGTCGTCAATGTTTAGGCGAAAAGTTAGCCATAGCCGACCTGTTTCTAGTTTTGGTCCGTTTCCTACAATTAACCGAAAACTATGATATAGTAGTTGTTGACAATTGCCAGCAGGACTTGGATCCCAATCCAAATGATTTCAACAATTTTCAGCCAAATAAACACGAAATTGTATTTAAAAGCAAATTTTAAAAAAAGTAATTATTAAATAATAGTAACTATTATAATACACTAAACATTTTCAGAACAAACTCGGTACTTTTTTATTTATATTACTTATGTTTTTTGTGCTACATTTGGTAATTATAAAAGATACCATATTGTCATGTGTTGTTTAAAAAAATGCGACATCATTTATGTAATTATATAATTATTTAATAGAGATATAGTTACACAAAAAACATATGTAATATACATAAAAAGGGCCCGAGTTTTCGATAGCTCATAAGCCGTGTACTATACAGTGTTTAGTATACTAGTATTAAATTATATTAGTTATAGTATTAATAGTTTTTTTTATGTGTTGTTAAACTATAATAAATAATATCAATATTTACTATAATATAATTATTGTATGTGTTATTTGTTAAAAAATAATTACTAAATAATTAATTAATTAACTAATTTAAATAAAAGTAATAAATAAAACAACATTATTGATGAACACTAATTGCATCATATATTATACACAATGTTTAAAAAAGTTTTAAAATAATGTAATTTTTCTTGAAACACAATAATAATAAATTAATTGTTTTGTTAATTATTTTTATTATTATTTAGTTGTATTTTGTTTGACTAAATGTTTTTTTTTTAAAAAACACTAATTGATTGTTAAGTTTATTAAAACATTTTTGAATTACAATTTCAATACAAATATATTTTAAACACTATTTTTTGGTGTTTTTTTATATACAAAACAATGGATTTAATAATTAAATAAATATTAATTAATAATTGATTTTTATGGTTTCTGATAACCAAACCGGTAAATAAAAAATCCCGAATAGTGATGGTAGACCAGACCTCCCTGAGTCCCCCCTCCCCATACCACACATATACCTCTCCGATCTCAACAATTCGAGAAATTGACACTATTTGGTCATACTTTCTACTAATAGGCGTGGTTCACATATTACGTTCGCACTTGAGTGGAGGGGGTGGGGTTAGCCAAAGCGAACTTTTGCGAACGTGGGGGAGGGAAGGGGTAGAGACTTTAAAGAACGTTCGCATTTAGATAATATTTTATTTCTTGTAGACTGGGGGTGGGGGTAGCGGTTAGGGACATGCGAACGTAATATGTGAACAACGCCTAATTTGTTTTTTTGCTCCTAATTACCGATATTTATCATTAAATTTTACTAATTTTTGTTGTTTGGTTTATTTTATAACATTATTATTATTATTATTATTGTAATTATCTTATTATAAAATCAATATAAAAAACATTTTTATCACTCGATACTTGTTTGCCATTTATTTGCCAATCAATTGATTCATTCAATACATTGTTGTCATCAATTGTGTGTCTTTTATCATAATTGTCTAAATTATTATTATTAACTGATTGTACAGTAAATCCATATTTACTATAATTTTTCAGATAATTATTCACGACTTTATTATTATTATTATTATTATTATTAAACTTTTCATAATAATTGTCTGTATTATCAATTAAGTCAATAGTAAACCCATATTTACTGTAATTATTATTATTATTGTAATTGTAATTATCTTATTATAAAATCAATATAAAAAATATGTTTGTTTTTGTTTTGTTTTTTTTATATATAATTATTGATAAAACATTTCAAACTCTTTCAATTCGTCATCATTTTTGATATATTCCGGTAAAAAAAGTTATCGTAAAGAAAATCAATGATTTGTTTATAGGATTTACTATCAAATGAGGGAATCGTTTGTTTGATTAAACGCCAGTTTCTCATCAATGCATTGAACGATGAAATCGTAGCAAACTTTTCCATAATTATATCCCAATCGATGGCCAACTCATCGGTAAAGTCGTATTTAAACAAACAATATATGAGTCGTGCGGTGTCTAACTGTGTGTCCATCGGTCCTCCAATTGATCCCATTGTGCGACAAACCAACGCTAATATTGGTGCCAATGTTGACGGACTTTGCTTTCGTTTCTATTGATTTCTGCTAAATCCCTGATCTGTTTGTACGGAATACTGTTTAACCGAAAACATGTTGTTTGAGATCATCGGTTTCGAGGACTCGTCTCATTTCGGTCAACACTCGGCCGATCTTCATATCCGGCGTCCACTTTCCTCTATCGTATAGTTTGCCGTTGTTGTTGACCTTTTTGGTCGATAAACGACCGAACAAACAGTGGGATTACACATATAAATTTTTTCGGCAATTTTTCGACCATCTTTTCGTCCATAGATTGTATGCAATTTTTTGCTAACATTTTTTTTGTTGTTGTTATCGCCGCTAAACTGTTTCAACGATTTAAACGTATGAAACGTATGACTCTCTAGCCCTGAGATGTGATGTGATAAACGGTACGATTAGGCAAACCGTTGGCCAATCGCTACACAAAAAAAAACGGTTCATTTGTTAACAAATCCGGCGAAACTGTTTCCTATAATCTCTTGTATATAACCTGTCATTGTTGGCAAAATAAAAGCCTAATAAACGTGTTTTCATATCTTCGCTACAAAATTATAGTCTTTGCAAAAAAATTGATCCCTAATTTTGTGTCAATATTTTCGAGAGAGAGTCTTAAACAGCGGCGCCGACGACGACGACGACAGCGGCGATGCTTTTAATTTCAATTATCTGATCAACAATACGTTGGACTACTTAAAAGTGACCAAAAGTGACAATGTTGTAGATAATTTTAAACTAGATAAGATTGTAATTTTTTATTTTAATTTTTTAATTTTATGATTTTTTTAATTAATTGCATCATTGGGCAGATAATTGCAGTCGACTATCATTTTTACAATTTTTTAACAGTCGACTGTATATTATCTGCCCAATCATATAATTAATTAAAAAAAATGACCAATTACAATCATATACAGTTAAAAAATTATCTACAACATTGTCACTTTTGGTCACTTTTAAGTAGTCCAACGTATTGTTGACCAGATATTTGAAATTAAAAGCATCGCCGCTGTCGTCGTCGTCGTCGGCGCCGCTGTTTAAGACTCTCACAATATTTTCATTTCGTTTGAACTAAACTTTCCATTAAATTACAATCAAATTGTTTTTTTTTTGATAAGTTTTTTCTCTTCGACACCGAATCCAAGATTATGAATAAGAAGTCGATGTAATTGTTAATCACTTAATAGTGTCGTACTATTTGTTATATAATTAATATTATTGTTACAATCATTATAATCACTATAATTATTCATTGATTGTTTGTTAAATGTATTGCTTATTATAATCCTAGTGTTGTTTGTCTTACAATTTGCAACATTTTTATCACTCGATATTTGTTTGCCATTTATTTTTGCCAATCAATTGATTCATTCAATACATTGTTGTCATCAATTGTCTGTCTTTTATCATAATTGACTAAATTATTAGTATTACACACTAAACTTATAGTGTATTTTAGTGTATTTACTGTAACAATAAAAGTGTAAATAAAGTGTAAATAAATACCCTATCGGTTATGTACTGAATGTTAAATTTAGTGTAATTTTTTTGTAGTCATTTGAGTATTGAGCGTAAAAATAACACTTTCATTGAAAACGTTTTAAATAGATATTTATTTAAAACGTTAGTACTGTAAGCACACTATTAAAACTGTTTACTATTAAAATGGTGTGTATGACATACAGTGCATCAATGGATGACTAAACAAATTTTGTTTGAATTAAGTAAAGTAAATGCTTTTCATAAATAAATATAAGTTACACTTTTTATTACACAAGTTATATCTTTGTTTAGTTATTACATATAATTTTAATTAAAATATAAATATCTAATACTTAAATGTCTATACAGTAATATAATAATATGTATTGAATGTATATTTTAAATAATAATTTTTATATTTATTTATCTAATAGACTCAAGGTATGTTATTATATGTATTATTCATTTTATTTTAATTTATTTATATTTAATAGATTCAAGTTATGTAATTTAAAATATACATTTTATTTTAATGAATAATATTAACAAAAATATCTTTGTTTATATACATTATTAACAATTACTTAACTATTAATTTATTTTTATTTTTAATATTACAGAACAATTAAAGACATTGCGATAAACAATATTATTGATTGAAATGTATATAAATATTAATTTAAGTTAATCTAAATGTTAGAAAAATTTTTGTTTCTTAATGTAGTTATTATATAAATATTAGTATATGTTATAAAAATTATATGTATTTTATTAAATTTAAAATTATTATAAATAAAATAAATATTTTGTATTTTTTTAAAGATATTTTTTTGAATAATTTTACATTAAAAAATGAAAAATAATTTCTCTTAGAAATGTAATTAATATACTTTATTTTAGGCAAAATTTACTCTAATTTTTTTACAATATTTTACTAATAAAAAAGCGTATTTTTTTACGCTAAACTTTACCTAAATTTTTACAAAAAAATTTAAACTTTTTTTACTCGTTTTATTTTAGAGAAAAGCTATAAAAAATACCCTAAAAGTCAAAAAAGTGTAAAACTCTACGCTTTTGGTTGTGAGTGTAACTGATTGTACAGTAAATCCATATTTACTATAATTTTTCAGATAATTATTCACGACTTTATTATTATTATTATTATTATTAAACTTTTCATAATAATTGTCTGTATTATCAATTAAGTCAATAGTAAACCCATATTTACTGTAATTATTATTATTGTTAACAATCGCTACATTATTACACTCGTTATAATCACAGATATTGTTAACAACAAACCCGTTTGTATTAATATATCGTTTGTATTGATTTTTATACATTATTTATACACTGAATATATACTTTATATATTTACTAATATACAGTATAAGTAAATATATATATATATTAGTCTCACATATAATAACAAATTTTTAGATAATTGAATGCTAACACGTGTTAACATAAAAAATGCATTTAAATTTAGTGATTCTTAAAGCACGTGTTGTTGAGTTTATGTTTATTATTATTATTATTTTTATCAGACATTTCTATGACATCACTGTTGTTATAATGAAATCATTTCAAACGTTTGTACATATAATACGTTTACTAATAAATAATTATTTTTTTAAAAAATTTTTTTGACAAGAATTATAATGATTTTAATAAATATTAATATAGTTATAATTAATAAATAAAAACAAAAAAAAATGTATTGTATTGTTGTATTATAGTTTTGATTTTTTTTAAATAAAATTTTGATTTTTGTTTGTTTATTTGTAATTAACAATATTTATTTAACTGAATAAAATATATCGATAAATTTTTTTTTTGAAGATAATTTTATTTATTATATTTAAAATAAATATATTTCATTTAAAAAAATTAATTTACTATGTGCTAAATTTGTTAATAAATATTTAATATATTTTTAAATATATTTTACTATATTAAAAATATTATTTAATATAATTTAATATATATATATATATATTTAATTATTTTTAAGCTAGTATATTTTAGTTTTGTTTTATTAATTAAAAAAAATGTATTATTCAAAACAAAAAATATTAAAAATTCTTGTATTTATTATAAATTGTTTGTCTTATATTAATATTAATAATATATTTTTATGATTTTTTATTACTGTAGTAAAATAAACAACACACAAATAAGCAAATAGTTTGATACGGTTTTTATTAATTAAAAAATATATATTTATAATTTTTTTCAGTTAATTTGGCATTATTACAAAAAATAATGTTTTTTTATAGTACTGTACATAACATTGAAATTAAAAAAAAATAAGTACATGTATTACTACTAATTTAATGTTGTTTTTAGACACAAAAATAATAGCATAATATCTATTTTTAGTTGTAAATCATCCAAATGTTTTTGAGTTATTTTATTTATACCAAAAATAAAAATAAGTAAATCAAATATAAGTACACACACACACTGTGTTTGTTATTTCTCAGTACACAATAACCCCTTAATTTCAAGTAAAAAAAATAATAATAATACTGTAATAACTTGTTTTTCACTCCAAACATGTGTAGAATATATGAGTGGAAAATTCCGATGAAATTTGATTTTTTTTTAGAGACTAAACAACACTAACACACAGTGTTTGTAGTTTTTTTAAATATTTAAAAAAAATTAAAGTGAAAAAAATGATTGTAATTATTACTACAGTATAATTAATATAATTATTTTAGAAATATTTTATTTCTGTATAATTTAATTTTTAAAAAAAAATAATTTGTTGACTACCATTTACTAAATAATGATAATAATAATTATTGTTATAATTTTAGTTTTTATTTATTTATTTTAAAAAATAATAAGTAAATACAATTAGTTTAGTATTCTTTGTAAATTTTGTTACAATTATTGTATGCAAAAGTATTGCATACATTTATGCGTAACTTATTACTAGACTTTTAAAGACATTTAGATTTTAATCAATTATTTATACAACAAGTACTTTATATATACATACAGTATATATTGAATATATATATATATATATATATATATATATATATATATATATATATATATTCAAAGTGCTTAATGCAATGTGAAATGCAAATGAAAAAACACTTATAGCTATTATAACTTATAATTTATAAGTACTGTAAGCTATAAGTAAAGCCATAATTATTTTGTACCTTAAAATAGTAATTTTCGTTTTAATGATTATAAGTTTATAAAATTATAAGAGAGAGAGAGAGAGAGAGAGAGAGAGAGAGAGAGAGAGAGAGAGAGAGAGAGACTTTTAGTTTATATAAAATGATGGCAATCATTAATAACTATAATTATATGGAAACTATTATTTTTTGTATTATAATTATTATTAGTATTATAAATATATTTTCCTAGAAATTATTTTTCTCTCTTTAAAATAAATATCTAAACTAAAATATAAATCTATTCTATAAAATATTATAGTATTTTTTTGTACATAAAAAAATTAATATGAAAAATTTATGATATTAAAATGTAATCATGAATTATTTGTTTATTAT